TGGCATTTTATTGCTCAACTTTCAGAAATTGCTTGTTTTCAAGCCAGTGCCAGGACTAATATTTCACACCCTTACCCCCCTCCCCAGCTATATACTCTGCTTTTCTAGCAGTTTTGCAATGAAAATGTGTTTTATTTGCTCTTTTGCTCCTGTTAACAAATGTACAAGTAAAAAAAAACATTTTTGTAATTAAAGTGGTGCTTAATAGTTCATTGTGTTTAACTGTTAACAGACCCATTAAAACCACCTTGTAAACATCTGAACATCTGAGTGTGTTACAAAGGAGAAGTAACAAATCTGAATATTGGCTAGTCTTTTTATTGGATTTCTCATTTTGCTGTTACAAAAAATAATGGTCAATAATGTTGTTTCAGTATAGTTTTATGCTGCATACTCCTCGTTTCAATATTTAATCACCTACAGATATCCGAGTTTGCCAATTCATTAAGAACAAATATGCTTGCACTGCACTTAGGGCTTATCAAAATCAAACGTTTAGAAAAACACACACATAGCTAAGCCTATGCAAAGAGAATTTAACTCGTGTGAAAAAAATAGAACTGCTTCATACAGCTCATCACACAAACTGTATATGTAGTTTTTTTTTTATTTAACTCACGTAATAGTTTTTAGCTGAATCATTATTGTATGAATGAATCACACTTATCATCCTTGAGAAATGTTTGAAATTGATCATTTCATATATCCAATAAAAATACGAGCATTTAACAACCTAAACACATCAACATGGGTACATACAACATAGGTGCAGAGTGACCAGTCAGGAAAAGACCTGTTAATGTAGATATTGTTGCATAATGAAAACTTTGAAACTCTTTTTCCTTTTACACAAAAACAAATTCATTAAAACCCTTTTTCTCAGGAACAGCAAATATAACTCTTTGACTTTGTATACAGCCCTCTCATGACTGGTTCTATTTAAGGAAAGTGGTGAGGTGGTGAGGTCACATGTGGTGGCCATGCTGGATATTGAGCAAAACACTTAAAGGACTCAAAACGCTTCAAGTCCTCAGGGACTATCTGGCCGACAAATATGAATCTCAACATGTCTCATCTTTCTACAATCACCTAGCAACTTTATTAAGGTAAATCTGCGACATGAAAAAAACACCTACAACATCCGAATCAGATTTAAGCCATGGTAAATTTGCAAATAGAAAATTTCAAGTAGAGCAAACCATTTCAGACTTTGGACATTCAGCTATAAAAGCCTAATGCAAGCGTTGCCCACAAGCGCAAACAGGTGACTAGTTACACGGTTTGGAGGCCATATTGAGAATACTAAAACTAAGAACAGGAGGAATGTCTTTACACAAAGGGTTGTGGCGGTGTGGAACACGCTGCTCTGCCACATTATTGATACCCTGTGTTCTTCCAAGCAACAACTGGATGAGGCCCTTGGAACAATTAACTACTACCTACCAAACAAGGTATATGGGCTGAATGCCCTCCTCTCATTCTTGTCAGTATTTAATATCTGAAAACAGCAGCTTCTTTTTAGAGGACATTTCCAGCCAGAACTTTAGGACTAATGTCCATGCCCCAGCGCTTACTACATATTTGAAGTTAAGAAGATGGTGATGTTCTACATTTTTATTGAATCATTGTTTCTTCTGCCTCACTACTAAAGTCATTAAGACGAAAAACATAAAAGAATGTAAGAAAATAAAGGTCAGACATCCTGTGGTGGTGGCCAGCTGGTGACAGAACATTAATATATATTGAGCACTCCAACACCTGCACATTTTAGAAGAAGCATGTCTTATCTCATTAGAACAGAGATCGAGCAGACATGGTGGCGTTTTGTTTAAAGTTTAGGTACGTTGTTTATTCACATTTAAGAAGGCCTGTTATTTTTAATACAGTCATTCCAACGGTCAGAAAAACAAAATGGTAAAAGAAACTAAAAAACCTAATGGGCCCTCTTATTTTTATTTCGTATTCAATGTGGTTAATTTTGTGGTTAACATTAACAATGTGTTTCTAAGATGCATATAAAACTAAGTGAGCTGGGGAGCCAAACTTCTTAAATGAAAATGGGGGGAGGTTACATAAGTGCTATAAGAATGCTCTTCATTGCCTCTGAGCTTTCTTTTTAATGAAGGATTAATTTCACTCAATGCTCCTATTGTTGCAAAGGTCAAGGAATGTATTAGCAAATTTTCCATCCCCCTTCAAAAATGGAGAGGAATTTTATAAACTTAACGTTTGATCTTATTGCACTTCGGGAATCCAGCCTAGCCAAGTACAACATGACAGAATTTGCCCCAAAGCTTGACAATTTGATGAACAACCGTCCACACTGAATCAACTGAAACAGTCAAAACATACAGCAGGACACTAGAAATTCGGCAATTTCCCTCACGGGATTAATAAAGTACCTATCTAGAAACTAACAATACAAGCCTTTCTAAATATACAAAGGTTTCTTTCATAACAAAAACAAGATATTATCCCAAGACCTAGAGATCAATTGTAGCGTCAGAAAGCTCGGTTTGTTTCTCTCCTTTACCACTAGAGGGCGATACAAACTCTTTGGAACTGGCTGTTCTGTCTAGGGATCTCGATTATTGACAGTGGTTTTCAGGACAGTTTAAAGCTGGTACCTTGTAATATTCATGTTCCGTAGAAGGAAGCGGTTGAATCTGTAATTCTTTCCTTTTAGTTCTTGCAGCACTCTAACTATAAAGCAATTGACAAAAAGCAAAATAATAACTATAAACACAAATAACATCAAACATCAATAAACACAAATTGCTCTCGGCTAAGATATTTAGTTCCACATTCAAGGGAAACCAGAAAGAATTTATTCAGTCATACAGCCTTGAACACAGAAAACATTGTTTTAACTAAATAATAAACAAACAAAATGACAAGGAAAACTTCCAATATAATCTAACCAAAAACCCTTACATCCAGTTAACTCCTGAACACATCTAGAAACTATTAACGATTTTTGGTAGAATCTTGAATAAAATATTTGATTATGATATTGATATTAAATTTGATATTATGATAATGTATTTGTTATTTTTTAACATCTTATTTACACAAATAATTTCACAACAAGATAGAACAGAAGGCAGCAGGTGCTACTGTCTCACAACTCTTGAGAAACAGTTTTTTGTCTGGCATGGTGATCAATCTGTGTGGAGTCTGCATGTTAACCATGCACACAAGATTTTGCTGAGTGCTGAGGCTTCCTCCCACAATTCAAAGACATTGACTAGGCTAAACAGCGCCTCTACATTTTCCCTGTGAACATTTAAGACTCAGTCCAGTATTCCCAGATACATTTCCAGGGTTCTTACCAGGAAAAAGCAGCTTTCAGAAACTGGATGGAAATCAACACTTCCAGAACTCTTTGACTGTATCAATATTTACTATTCTGGCCAAGTAAAAACCACTGCTGTTTTTAGTATGATTTTGAAATTACTAAAGGAGACCTTTATACCCTTATTTTACGGCTTAGTCATCCTGTTATGTGTTCAACATTATGTTCTCTCTTCTGTGCGTTAATGTTTCCATTGCAATGGAAAGAGCTTGCAGGAACACTCCACCTGTGACTGCCTGTGTGAGAACTGAGTCAAGTGTCACTTCAAAGGCTGCGTGGCAAGCGCGACAGTGCTTATGCTGCGATTCACTGCGTTCACCACAAATTAACAGATAATCCAGTTTTGGAGGTTGCTGAAAAGACTGAACCTGAATGGTTCATATCACATACAGGAGCCCAAGGATACCCTTGTCCTAGGACAACCATACCAGCAGACCCTCAGTAGCATGAGGGCTCTGTGTGCATGTTGATCAAACCTGAACCAAGCAGTATTCGAACCACACAGTGTACCACACTATGCATGAAGAAAATAGCTAATTACAGAAATCTGAACCCAAAAGGCATCCTTAGATCTGCATAAAAAGGAAGGCACATGCCTCTGTGAGAAAAGGAAAACAAGTCTTTTGCAGGAAAAGAACATTTTCACACTGCATTAAAAGCATGGATTACTCACGCTTGCTGCTCGCTGTCTAAATTATCTTTGCATATATTAAAATAGATTTAAAAGCATAACTAATGTATCAAATCCCATCTGTTCCATTAACAGGCCCATCAGTGTCTGTATGTACAACTGCACTCAAAGGTGAAGGCCATCCTTATTTTTGGCTACATGGACCTCAGACATTAACTTATAAGTGCCAAGATTTGGGTTTTATATCAGTTGAAAAAATATAACTTGTAAAAGTATTCAATTTAATGGATGGACAGTACAAAATATACAGGCCAAATACAATTCTTACACATTTCTCTCATTATAGAGCCTTTTCACAATGCAGCTTCAAACACAGAAGGTGGTCGTCACATTTTAGATCACAAAAGTAACATTTCCTTTATGTACACAAACTGAAAAACACACAGGCGTTTGAAACAATCTATTTTACTGAGGTAATATAGATAAAACATGACCCCGTCGCGATCCATATTCTTGATAGTTATCAAAGGAGGAGTCCAGAAATAAAAGTGAAAGTATACTGCAATATAAACCCGTCAGACCTGTTGTTACAGGAAAACCTACGAAACAGATACTGTATCACTGATACTGTTCCCTTCCTCAATTATCCCCTGTCAGGGAGGTTTTAAAAATAAAGGTTACAAAATCACGTTGCCCAAAAGTTTCAGCACCAAATCACATGCCAAGGGTCTTCACCGGGATAAAGAAATAGCAGGCCTCCGGTAAACATACAACAATACAAAATCAAATCCATGTTTTAGTTAACTTCTGCTTCAGGAAACGTCATTGTAACAGTATGGTCTTTTATTGGAAATAAACTGTAATGGCCTCAACTGTTGGGCATCACAGTAATACATCCTATCCCATCCGAAACCACAGAACTGCTTCCAAGATTAATTTAATCGCGTAAATGTATGTTTATTCATATTTTCAATAACGCTACAGGTAAAGCAGCTAACCTTAGTATTACCACTATTCTATATGTTAAACAAAATCACATACCTGCCCCCCCTCCACAATACATACATCTCTTTCAAGAAAATCACTACATACTGTAAATACGTCCGCAGTACAGCAACGCAATGTTTAATGCATATTTTACCACACTAGTCCTATCATAATTTTAAAAATGGCAAAATACTGGTAAAACTGTAATACAGCGTACACAGCAAGCCATCAAAACGTCCCTGGCCTAAGCATGTTACCCAAAACACCCCGATTTCTCCGGACCCCAAAATTACCCGCCTCCCAGGACCATTACTCCAGCAAACCCAGGCCTAGTGCGGCCTGCAGCAGCACCGGAGCTACATATGTGCCTTAATCCGAGCTAATTGGACACTTAACCCGAGCCTGTTTTCGAAACGAGAGGCAATAATTTAGCAAAAACCCCATTCTCGTTCCGCATCAGGATTTTTCCCGTCCCCCTCTATCACCCCGCCGCTGCCGGGTTTGTTGGTGCGGCTGCGCCAGGGCTGAATTAGCTGGAGATTGCGCGGTAGGGCACTAACCTCAGAGCGGCTGCGCTACAGCGGGCCTGCGCCGTACAGTGTGGAACCGGGAATCCGAGCTCTAATGGAGGACAAAGAGCAGCCAGCCCAGCACACAGCGACAGCGGCGGGCCCGCGTCCGCAACAACACACAGCACGTCAGCGCGTAGGGCGTTCCTGGGGCGGCCGCCATGTTGGGAAGGGAATGGTGTCCTGATCTGGGTTTATTCTTGATTCCAAAATTCATATATTTATTGAGGACCAACAAACTTTAGATCGTGAAGAGAACAGTTGGGTAGGCGAAACGTTGATGAAGAATTGATGCCGTCTGCTTCAGTTCTGGGTGATTCTGAAACTGGCTTCATATTTACAAATTGAAAGATACGTTGTAGTGAATGATTGGGAAAGATGCCTTAGTCGTAAAAATGCTTGCCCTTTAAATTTACACATCACATGTGTAAAGAAGAATGTAAGGTATATCATATAAAATAATTGCTTATGCTAAATTTTGCTTATGAGGATCAACTGACAAAAATATGCCGAATTTCTTCAGAGCTGTAAAATGTAACTCTGCCCTACATTAAATACTGTACGTTATTTAAATAAATTGCATTACCCTTTTGTAACATCCTATACAGTACACTTTAAAAAAAATATTGTAGTTCTTTAAAAGTGCAGAAAAGGTCTTCTTTAAAAAAAACCTTTAGCATCAAAATAAGAGAAAACATTTTTCTCAAATAAATCACAGCCTTTTAGGTGGCTTTGTACAGAGCGCTACCCCCTAAAAGAGGCCTATCGGCACACTAATACTTCAGGAAATCAGTTTTATTCATTGTTGAAAGACCTTCATTTAACAAACTTTCCATAACTGTTGTTAGCTAATAAGACTACAACAAATGCATATTAGAACTTCTTCCTGCAGTACATCTTTATTTTTAAACAATTAAATTGCAGACCCAATAGCAGCACACAGCAGTCAGAACAAACCAGTTGCTACACAGAATATATGTTTTACCAAAATTTTAAGATTGAATAGGAAACCTATGGATATCAAGGTGTAACATCATTGTCTACATTTGTGATATGTTGAGAAATGGTATGAAATGTTGTAGGGATGGTAATACACCTATCCATTTCCTGAATATTTTTTATGCATTAATTGACACCCATTGTATCTGAAAAGAAAAGAATACATGTGATAGTAAAAAAATGAAAACCTGTCTGTATGAAGCTTGCATGATCCCTCTGTATTTGCACTGGGTTTTCCACCTCCCATAGACATTCAGCTTCGGTCTGACTGGCTAAATTCTCTGTTTCTGGGGGGGGGGTTACGTCAGGGTTACGTCAGGGTGTTTGTGTTGGTTTAACCAAATGAACACAATGAGCTGAAATGTCTTCTCTCATTTGTGATCTTTAATGTTATCTATTGAGTTAATATGTGTTACTCCCGACTACAAGTTTAGTTGTGTACTTTGTGTGTTTAACAACTTTACACTTGGAAAAATATAGCAGCTACTTCGTGATAGTGGGCATTTGTAGCGCAGCATTGTGGTGGCTTGAAATGTCTATTTTTTGGTCTTCCCCTTTTTGCCTTTTTTGCCTTTCTTTTTCTTCTTCTTTATGGAGTCTGGCCAACCAAAGCCTCTGAATTCCAAACAGTCCATTGCATTGTGGGAGATGTAGTAAACATTCTCCATGGCAGCTGGACTCAGAATGTCCACCTCTCTCTTGGCAGTTTTGACACTAGCTGATCTCTTTTTATGGGCCTTCTTCTTTCTGCCAGTTTTGCCCGCTCCAGTACTGTGAGACCTTGATCTTCTAGCTTTTGTTGGCTGCAATTAAAAGCACAAAGTCGAAGCATGAAGTGAAGATTATTTATCCGTTTTCCTTCACAAGCTAAAGCTAATGTTTCAGATGAGCACTAGACAGATTGCATTATCTCCGGTGGTGTAACAGACACAATGATTTCAAGACACCGTCACAAAACAAGAATTTCATTGTCATATGCCCTTTTCAATAAAATCCAAACAAAGCCGTCTTTGACAAACATGAGATGCAATACCTTGTTTAATACAAAACAAAGTCTTGAAGTTACTAGCTACTAAATGAGAATATATTAAAATGTACTAGAACAAACTGGTAAGGAAAATTGCAATTAGTATAGCTTTTAATTGCTTTTGGCAATCCTAGGGCTGAAAAAATGTACAAGTAATGTAAAATGTGCACAATGTGTACTTCTGGTGAATAACTTTGGTTGTTTTATTTTTTTAAAACTAAATGGTGTCTTATTACTGAATAGTACAATTAAAACCTTCCTTAACCATAATTTACAGACTTTTTAACTAAAAATCCTAATATTCTAATTTACACACTTTTAATACATTTCTAACTATATATCCTAACATTCTGTTTAACTTGTTTATTCTTTCCCTGCATTATCTAGACAAAGACAAACATAATCCATCCAGTTACTGTAAGTCTTTTTCAAAAGTATGCTCTTCATCTATAGTTCATGTGCTTGCTTCTTGCATGAAATACTCACTACTTGTCTGCAATACATATCATCTGCAATGTGTTTGCCCTTTCTTGAATTTTGTCTAACTCTTTTAATTTCCCTTGTAGCATCTACAGTGTTTGTTTACCCTACTGTTTTGGTCTCATCTGCAAACTTGACTAGTTTACTAATTATAACAGAATGCAGATCACTGGGAAATATACATTGAGAAAAGCAGACGGCCTAGTACAGATCTCTGTGACACACCACTAACTACATCAATCAAATCTGAATATTCTCCCCTAATCCATACTCTCCACTTTCTAGCAATTTATCATTTCAATTCCTCATCTCAAGAAATGATTGCCTTACCTTGAATGCCTAAAGCAACTACAGTAATTTTCTACTGCTTAGAAAACTCAAACAAGTTTATTTGGCGAGTCCTCTGTTTTCAAAATACAGTTTGACTATTCCCTATAGTCCTATTGCCAACACCTGGCAAATAATACAATTCACAGTTTTTGGTATTAAGGAAAAAGGAAATATCCTTTTGAAGAAATATCCAAAATATTAGATTAAAACTATACCCTGAAATTTTGCTTCTGGGACAACATTGGATGAACTACCACCAGAGGCGGAAAAATACTTGTTTAAAATTGTCAGAATTGCAACCATGAAACCAATCACAACAAAACTGCTTAAAGCTGGGCAGAACTAGTGTTCAAATATGGAAAGTCTCTACAAATGAAATATATCTCATGGAGAAAATTACCCACAGAATTAGAAATCAACATAATGTATTTGTAAAAAGATAGTAAAAAGATCTCTCTCTCTCAGTAATGTGACAAAGATGCAGCAGACAATTACAATTTGTATGAAAAATTCAGCTGTTTTTCTTTCTACAGTATATACCTTCTGCTCTTTTGTTGTATTTTGTGTTTCTTTTAAGAAGCATGTGAAAAAGGGGATATTGTGTGCCTCAACATACTACAATAAAGCATAAAAAAGAATCATCTTGCCATATAGACAGCCTTCTAGTTTAGTTCTAATTATTGTTATCATAACCTTATAAGTACCAGAAGTAAGAATTATTTGGTCTGTGATTACTTGGTTCTGTTTTGTCACCCTATGCTGAATATACAATACCATTGTAAATATCTTCCAGCTTGAGTGGTCTTCTTTCTTTTTCTCATCAGTGCTCGTGACCTAAAGAAACAGGTTTTAGACATGAACAATGTACAGTACAACAAGAAATTGCTGTAAAATGCATTATAGAATAATCTAATTGTTCCTGAAATAATTTTGCAATGTAAAATGAAACACTTGGTACATTATTTAAAACATGTACCCCCACACCTGTAGAAGGCTTCACAGTCGAAACGTTGCGTTTTCTCTCTTCTCTTTTCAGCATGGAATAAACCTACTACTTGTTCCTTTGCAGACTACGCATGCTGGCACAGCTACCCACCAGAATTATTTGAAGACGACAATGTAGCAGCTGATACAGTAGCTTACGCAGACAGAAGAATTCATACAAGGACATGGTTTAATCTACTTTTTACAATGTGGGTAACCACTAACATAAACCATATCCACGCATTGTGTAAAAATGCAGTGACAACGATTGAGTTTAGTTACGAGCCGATGCATAGCAAGCCCACCGTTTTGACAATGGGAGAAGACATCAAAAGATGATCAAAGAGGAAAAAGTCTCAGAAAGGAAGTAAAGGTGAATTCTGTGGATGCCTCGAGTGCCTAGAGTTCGGGATGTTCTATGTAACCTGGAGACTGCTGGAGTGAATCTGGGCTGGTCCACACAGTGGCTCCACTCCTGCTGAAGTACCATAAACTTTCATTGTATTCGGCATACAGCACTACTTGGACATAATGCATTGCATACACCCTGGGCACATACGTAGCAGCTCTATTTATATTGAGTTTTGTCTGATGTTTATCTTATTCAATTTCTATTGCACTATTATCTATCATTGTTTAACCTTATTTTTTAACTTTAATTTTGTTATTTTTATCCCCCCCTCCCCTCCTGGTGAGCTCATACAAAAGACATTTCATTGCCATCAACTAATGCTTCATGCTATATTATTGTGCAATTGATAAATAAACTGTGATTGATTGATTGACTGATTGAGTACCATGGTAACTTGGTGGAGTGATGTGAGCTTGGACTCTTACATCCCTCACCTGGCACTGGCTGGCCTTTTCATTTGATCGGGGAGGTACTGTACATTACATGCCAGTACTTCGTCGGGCACTGAGCAAAAGATTTGTGCACGTCTCAGAGGAGATGTTTACTCTCCTCTTCATTACAGCACATTTTCTTTCAAGCAAAACTTGTCTCTTTGTGCAACATAACACACTGTCACAGGTGCAGCAGGAATTCTTACCATTATGTCTGAAATAAAACAGGCTATAGGACAGAAACCGGTTGAATAATATTTAATTAATAATTTTGACTCAAATAAGTAATAATGTCACTTGTTACTGTGGTATTCCAAAATTCTTAAAAGAAAGATAGTAACAAAAGTGTCTAGGAGTCTGAAGTGAAAACATCATAATGAAAGGAAGCATATTAACATTTCAAAGAGAAATCCATTTTCATGCTATACTCTACTAATACTTCGGTTAATAATATTGGCATTTCATTAAAACATTAATCAGAACTCACCTCACTGTAAGTTTTCTCCTGACTGGTTGCTTTGCTCCTCGACTGCCCGGGGAAGGTTTTGTTTGTTGACAGCCGGCTGTCATGGAGACAAGGAAACTGGATTTATTGCTTTCCAGGCAGGGTTCGGGCAGTTCGGAAGAGCCAGCTCCTTTCTGTGAAGGCTTTGCTTCACTCACTCCCCCACACAAACTCCAAACCTGTTTGCTGGAAGCCCCCCAGACACTAGATGGAAGTTATTTTCATGCAGTACCTGACAAGTTTTCACAACAGTGCGTCCTCATAATCAGTGACATATACTGGAATTGTTTGTCTTTTCAACACATTATGTATTATTTTTTCACCTTTAGCATGTAGGAATCATTCAGACAAATTTGGGTGACCAACAAACCTACTAAAGCATATATAGTGTAGACTCCATTTTGTCTGCTAGATGTGCTGAAAAAAACATATGAATGAGAGTGCCTGCAGAGATTGTCATAAATTATAGTTGAATTTAAAATAGGTCTCTAATCTTATTGACAAATGACCAGTATTTTCTGCAACTACCTTGATGATTGTAACATTCAACTGTATTTTCCAATGTTTTTGGTCAGGTAGTTCACTACATGCACCAGCTACAGAAAAAGCATTTAAAACATAGTGAATATCTGTGCCTCAAATCTGTGTCATTAGCCTAGATTGCATTTCTTTCCAGCTATGACGGAGGGATAGTTCAGTGGGCAATACTGCTTAAAAGAGGAGTATCAATAAGACATCTGTGAGCTGACTTGTCCCGTCATTACTGTTACTTTAAAAGTGGGAAGTCCAAAAATAAATATAATGCATTTTTTTCAAATGGGCAAAATGAACATTTGAAAGTCTTTTTATCGACATTTGCTTATACAGCTCTGTGATTTGATTTAAATACTCATATGTGAGATGTAAAATTAAGATATTAAGCAAGGCAAATTCTATTGAATTATAGTTTTTACCTTCAGGAGCTTTTTGTTAATAGGCACACATTTATTGTGTTTGGCAACTTTTATTTTTTAAAGGATATCTCCATTTCAGTTAGTGATTGCACATAACCCGAAACAAAAACACAGGAAAAATTATGCAAACACACTAATTCCAAATTGTATTAATACAGCAGATACTTAAAAAAGATACTTAACATCTTCACATTGTAATATTGTCATATATTATATTTACAGTCCACACAGCATTCCAAATGCAGTTTGTTTATAATGATTCAAGTTCACACCAGAAAACAAACACCCTGTTTGTTGAGAATAAGGCATTCACTGCCAACAATGAAAAATACAAAACCCAGCAACTAATAAACAATAATACACTAAACTGTGCATTAGAATAATGTTTGGCACTAGAAAGGCTTGACCAAAACCTCAAAGAAATATCACTTATAAAAGTGCCGAATATAACTTCAAAGGCTAAGAGTCCCTGCTCTTCCCAAATTATTTTTCACAGCTGAATGATGAACTTTCTAGAAAGCTACAGTATGCTTTTCAGTAGAAGCGATATCACAAATCTCCAATTATGGGTGTCTCTGTGAAAAAACACATACAGTAAGCACATTAAACCTGAGGCATCAGTTTGCATGAAAAGTCAGGTGAGTAGCACAGCAAATTATAATGTAATTGAATGGAGAATCTTTCCACTTCAAATAAGACTGAACACAACAATAGATATCCTAGACCATGTCCATCTAGACATTTGGCTTTTGTAACAAAACAATATTTTAAACATTACTTTGATAAAAAAATGTATTATTATTTCTCTCTCTAAACCAATGTTTTATTCGTTGCTGGAGAATAGTGTTTAGGGATTGTCACAGAGGCAACAGGAGACATCCCAACAGTGGTACACCCTGAGCTTGTAAAGCTCTTTAAAACCTTCAGAAAAAGTGACCAATTCTGATGTGAGTCAACAAAGTGGTATAATTTTAACAGTCTTACAAGTGGAAAGCATTCTTCTATGTTACAAATCACTCGATTCATTTTGGACAGACCAACGTCCGGTCTGGCTTTCATGGGACACGCTGACATTTTCTTTATCACGCACAAATAAGTCTTTGCAGGATTTCTGACACCGAGATATTCATAATGGTAAAAATACACATTGATCCCAAGAAAAAGGAATAATTTTTTTTTAATTCTCTTTTTAAGAATTTATAAATTCTCAAAAAGAAACAAACTCTTAATGTCCATTATGTGTAGTGTGCCAAACACATCAAAATTTATAATGGAATTTTGTGTGTAGCTGAACCCTAATAGTACATTTTAATTGGTACAAACAGTAATTAACCATAGGTTTCAAACAAGCAACAGACTATAAAGACTATAAAGGGTTTTTATTATGGTATTTAAAATTATGCCATACAAACAGTTAGAAAAATGTTCAAAAGAGCAGAATGGTTTGGAAGTACTTAATTAAAAAAGGTGTGTCTTGCATGAATTGAGATATTATCTGAACTACTGTCATGCATAATATTGCATGGAACAGTAACAGACAGTTTCACACTATTGTTGAGAGCTGCAATCGATATCTGTGTTATGCAACAGATATTTTATGCAAGCACTAACACATATCAAAGCTTTTCATTATGGCACTTCTGAACACAACACATGTCCCTGGAATCAAATGTGAAAGAGCAAAAAAAAACTGTTTATGCTCTATATTGTAAAGAAACATTCTCTGCCAGTAACTGGGGCAGAAAAGCAAAACCTTTATCTTTTTATCCATTCATCATTAAAACCATCTCACTTTTTCCTCTAATAAATAAGCAGTCAACCTTGTGGGTGCAAATGTCTGAATACAAATCTCTCAGTTACTGTATGACATGCCTTCCAAGGACTCTTGTGTGTTCACTCCTTTACACAAGTATTGTATGATTCACCGCTGTGGGACATTTGGCTCAGATATTCTGAAAGACTGGCCTTGGAAGGCCAAGTCGGAAAGCTACAGCTTTTCACACACCAATGCCATCTTCATTTTACAGTATATAACAGATACAAAAATGATGTAACCACATAAGAGGATGCTTGAAACTAACTTCTTTCATCAAAGTTAACGGCAGTGTCTGAAGTACATTACATTACAGACTCCTCTGGCCCTACAAAGGCAGAGACTTCAATCAAGTCCAGATTCCTAGCAGTAGTTTAGCAGTAGTATTATTTAGCATCTGTTGCTTCTAAAGAACAGTTAATTTTGCACGTCTGGTTAAATTTCGATTTGCAGTTGTGCTGTTAATCACTTGCAGTTTTTACAACTAAAAAGACACCAATCAGTCTGAAATAAACAACGCAGCTACAACAGAAGATATTTACCTACAAGCAAACTGCAGCATAAAAGGCAACAATTGCACACTTCCCAATCCATCTTTTGGACATTTCTGTTCTCAGAGCCTTTGAGAAATAACACCAGGCATTACAAAGATCAGATGTGAGAGAACAGCTTTGAACTGCCAAGCCTTGTCTGACATGGCCACCACGGACCGCCGATACAAAACAAACAAACAAACAAACAAACAAACAAACAAACAAACAAACAAACAAACAAACAAATAAAAAGTCCATTTTTTTTACAAGTACTGGTGGAAGTTGACCATTTTTAAACAGTAGCATGTGCTTGTGTGTTACTGCACAGCAAATCCTGAGCTGTTCATTTGTGAGACCATTCCTGTTGAGACTCAGATTTCATGGCAAGTGCCCACAGAGATGATGACTAAAAACACATTCAAATGTGCTTTTACCCACTTGGGACACTCTCTCAGCAGGGCGTAAGCTTTTGTGTCAACAGGAGGAATGTGTGCAGGACCTGAATCTGACAGCGCTCACACACTAACACTTTGTCAAAAGAGCCGGGTCACTTGGTCGCACTGTAAAGATCTGCCGCAGGCATCGATAATTACACTTTCCCCTCAGTAGGAGCTGACGTATTTTTGATCTGCAAATCCGCCCCATCCTTAGTTCCCTTTACCCTGAGTTAGCAATGGGGACATGTTGTGCCGAGGGGTGATCAGGCATGTCACTGTAGCTTACTCCAAAAAAAGGTGGCACACTCCTTTCGGACACCTGCGGCAATGCTTTTAGTCTAATGACTACACAGTTATCCAACTCCAGGTTAGGAGCACATATTCGCTACTGCTAAAAGACAGAGCTCGCCTGTTCAGCAGGGTAAGCATGTACTTTAATCACCATTTATGACAGCATGCATCCAGATCATGAAGGAAGAAAGATGTTTTCATTGATTATGCATCTGCAACAAGAATTCCAGATCATATTTATGATTTAGTCTCAGGGCGTCAATGCATTGAGAGAAGCTGGTTTATGTTTACTCAGGAGTTACTAACAGATGAGTCAGTCCTTGAAACAAAAACACTGTCCCTTAAATCGATGACATTTTGTATGACTAAAAAGAGACGGAGCCAAATGGTGCCTTGTGTGATTTTTCCATTTGTGCCACCCACCTGATAATCGTGAATTAATGTTATTTTGCACCTCAATAGATTCAGATAACATGACTAGGTGCATTGAATTTGTCATCTAAAACGTTAAAAAAAACAATAATCAGTTTGGTTTTAGGGTACAAAAATACATGTAAAGCTCTCGCAAACTGTGGAGAGGACTAATATGTAAGGCAGTTTACCAACAAAAATGTTTATGCTCACACTTACTTAAACATACTAGTAAAATCTGATTTATACTTTGGCTGACTGAAAAATCAGTAACATTTCAGCAACTGTAGGTAGGAAGGTGTATTAAAACAACTGTTGGATGTGTTCTTGATTGCCAGGACTCTTATCAAAAGGCAAATATGACAATTCGGAGTATATGATGAGCTAAAAACACATAGGCAAAACATAAAAAGCAAGGCAGTACCAGAGTGAGGGAAAATAGAAAACATTTGGCCTTTTCTGCTTTTGCACTACCTTCCCACTTCACACGTTGATGATTGAAAGGGAGGCAAAGACTAAAACCATAAAATAAAACAATCTGAAAGAGTAGTAGGCACATAAAGTAGTGCATGCAGACTGGCTGTATGCCCACTCTGCAGTGTTGTAGCGTGAGTGCGTCTGGCTTCCGTACAATGTGCTGCCTGCTTTGGCCTTTACTCTGGATGTAGCAGCTCTTCCCAGCGGATGGGCTGGGAGAAGACCTCTCTCTCCAGCCAGATCTCGTAGCTATAGCGGAAGTCCTCCGGGAGCTCCACTCTCTGCCCCAGCACGCTCTGCAGGCAGTTGTCCACGGGGCTGAACTCGCCATTGGGGTTCTTGTCGTACCTCCGGCAGTTGAACTTCTCGATGCTCTCCCTCAGGGCGCACTCCTCCGCCTGGAAATCCCAGGGCCGCGCATCAATGTCTGCGGGAGCCGGACAGAGACATTTCATGAGAGCCTGCCGGGGCTCCTTCTGACAAAGACAGCTTCTGACATAAAGGTCTGGCCGGCAAAACAATACAGGATGTTACAACGCTTCCCCCCAGAGGAATGAAGGAACTAACTGGGAAAGCTACTGGAAGACAAAAAAAAAATAACGGCTTCGCGGTTTTTAAAAAACAAACAGTTGAGAGCACGGAACAGTTGCAATGCTATAGTTTCGCTTCTGAAACTATGTAATTGCTAATACGAGGCATCAAGTCTTTTGGCCACTTTTATAGTTTTTTTTACACTTTTATGTTCAATTTGTTTTTTTGCTTTCTTCGGGAAAAAGTAAGAATATTACATGGTACCATACACCGTAATTAACAAATGTGAACAGTCACCATGGCACGACAGACTTGGTACCTAAACAATAATATATTTTTTGACACATCTGATTGCTGAAACCACCAGTTCTCATCGTCTTACCTGTTTTATTTGAATTGTGCCATCTGTTGGTTTAGCTAGCGCACACCACTGAGCTGGACTTTTCAACATAGAAGGGAAAGGAGGAGGCAGGCAGCCTCATACGTGAAGACTTTCCAAGCACTCTGCCTCATTTCACTCGAGAGCATCAAGCAAGAACAAACGGCAATTTCACTCTTCTCTATGCTTACCGTTGCCATAGGCCCAGTCATCATTGAGACGGTGACGCACTTTCTGGTAGATGGCTGACATGGTTTTCATATTGCTTTTCCTCCACTGCCGCCCTAGGTACTTAGTCTGGATCTTGAGAAGCTTCAGGACGTACAGCTGCATCATGGCCTGTTTCACCTTCAAAGCTCGCTTCAGGATGGGAGCCGATTTAAACACCACCAGCATCTGTCAAGAAGGTCAGAGCTGACTAAGAGCCATGTTGTAATCCCTGTTTTCTTCAGGGACAAACAGCACACGCAAAGATAAGGCCGAGGGGCTTTAAAATCCAAATCAGAATGCAGCCAAAGTGAAAGCTGCTGGAACCCAACTGAAAGCTGATCGTGAAGTGAGAAAAAGGATATCTACAGTATCTTCAGGTATGGGGTTTGGTGTTCTCAGTAACTGGAGGTTTTTTTTTCAGAAGTCAGGTTATCTGTGGCAGTCGCACCTTTTTGCACAAAAACACAGCCCACTCTTTTACTTCCAAGCACAGGTAGCTTCATATTGCTCATTGCGAGTTTGAGGATTGAGGAGTTTGAGTCTTACCATTGTTCTGGAGTGTTTCCACTTGGTCAGCTTGTTGAGAATCCTCAGCAGGTTAATGCAGGAGAAGAGGTTCCGCCAGCAGAACTGATTGCTGTCCCCAGCTTCCTGCCAACACAAGATGAAATAAAAGCATATTGCGGGGTACATGTCTAACTCCCACTAGGCAGGAAAACATAACTGTTCAAATATTTCCATATGAAACATGCATTATATAGATGCACTATACAAAGAACTTCCACAGCAGCCACAATTCATGCAATAAATCCCTCTAATGCAATAACAGCAGTGACTATGGAATTATAAAAGACTTATTCCTAGTACTTATGTAATTAGAAGGGGCAATAAATAATTAAATCACATGCTAAGAATGTAGAGAGAATACTATGCTGCTTTTGCTAAGAGTTATTGTCACACAAACCCAGGCGTCCACGTGCTCCACGATCACATTCCTTCTCAGTGCTTTCTAAATTCCCACTGAATGCCAGAAAGAGAAGGGCAGCACTCAAACTGCCACTCACCAGGCTCTCGGCGGTGAGCTCCGGCAGCTCGTGCACAACGCAGTGTGGGAAATCCAGCATGTAGATGCTGCATCGGGCACAGAGAGGCCACGTGACAAACATTTTACCTCATCAGTGCGGATGGGACCTGGAGCTATTTCTGTTAAGCTTGAACCATCTGTATTTTAGACATTTAACCACAGCTCTAAACAGCTTTCAAGACTTCCAGCAAGACAGTACTTCGGCAGTTCGTTGAAAGCGAGCTTCTACGCCCGTCATAATTCTGAAATAAATACTGCTCTGCTCTCACAATCTTGCCTTTTTCAGTACTGTAGGACCCCCTGTTCCAGACTTTTGCAAGCTCTTTGGAAGCCATTTCAGTTATAGTCGGACCATTGGTATTTTTAAATAGTAAAATGTAATGACCTGAAACACATATCAGATTTGTCCTGTTTAACACTAAAAAGTGTTTTAAAAGCAATATAAGTGCACAGGTAATACTCAATAGCTGTGTACACTACAACCATTTACTGGAAACTGAAATAAGTACACATATGTGAAAAATTGATAATTTGTCTTTCATAGGAAGGCTCTGTGAAGGTAATTTGAATTGAACAAGTACCTGTTTTTGGCGCTGATGTAAGACATGATGTTCTGGTTGAAGAACTTCAGGATCAGAGGTATACAGTTGGCAAACACCAAGTGCTGAGAGACATACTCAAACTGATGGGGAAATAAACACACAGTCATGCAAATTAAATGGACTCTTCTTTCACAGACAGACCTGCCATTTGTAACTTCCATGATGGAATTATTCTAGTTTGGCTAGAGTAATTGTCTTCCTGCTATTACCGTTTTTATTTAAGTACTTCTAGGCAAATGAAAAAAGACCATTTTTAACAATACCATTTATGTGATTATATTTTATCTTAAGGTTTGTTCTTAGATACAAATTGGTTACAGTACACAGCACTTAGTGCATTGCAACTCTATTAGGTCATCAACAGTCAAAATAAAAACACAGGCTGCTTGATTTTACTAAGTTTTCCATTTTAAGCTATTTTCATCTAAACTTCATAAGACTATCCTGTTATTGTCCAGATAAGGCCATTTTTTAATGAGGATGGTGGTGGTTAGTGAGTGGCCTGTGCAAATGGTTGGAGCCACATTGCGAATTATGTTTTCACTAGGCCATCACTTCCAAGAGGGTTCATCATCGTTGTAAGCTCTGGAAACCTCAAACACAGGATTTGTGATTTTAACAATTGAGATCTGGCTCAATTAGGCCGCTGAACACACTTGTAAATACACTACCAAATAATCATATACAGTACAAGCTGATCCACACATTTGCGTTACAAATACATATTCAGGTGGATGCTGCACATTGGTGGTGGTGGAGGGGAGTCCCCATTACCTGTAAAGCGCTTTAGTCCAGAAAAGCGCTATATAAGTGTAAGCAATTATTATTAATTATCATTATTATATTCGGCGCTTAGAAAACTTCAAAACACGACTGCCGGAGGCCAAGTAATTGCTTCTCTGCACACTAGATGGCAGTGTTCCGTTGGATGAGTTGATACTGACGGAAACACGACCCGCCTTGCTCTGTAAAGTGTGCGCATTACAACAAATGCACAAACGAATACGCTAAAGTACTAAAACGTGATTTTATTTCTAAAAGAATTAATTTTAGCAGCGAGAGCTCCTTCTGTTTCAGACTCTTGTCAATGAGAGATCTTTGTAATCCACACTCCCCAGGCTTCAGTGAGGTGCCCAGAGAACAGCCAGCAGTGAATCAATAGAAAATAAGTTTCTTTTAGAGGGAAGCTCACCCTTTTCATTTTAAGCCTCAAAGCACTTTCAAGAGAGGCATCCTTATCTGTACCGGTTTTCAATTTGCCCTTTACAGGTAATTTTTTGTCTTTTCAAATCAAGGGTTCTTTGACAGCCTTGCTATCAGCAGGGTGCAGGTTGCCTTAATGACAGACAGCTTCTGGGAAGCTCCATATTGGAATCTGTGAAAAGACTTGTCTTCTGACCTGGTAGATGTGGTTCAGTTTGAAGTGCTTTAGAAGCAGTAAGAGAAGAGCTGAAATGGCCTTGACAATAATTTCCTTGTGTCGGTTCACATCGATTCCCAGCTTCATGCTCTGCAGAACTGTAACCCTAGTTTCCAGAGAGAAAAATACAGTCAAAGCTCATGAAAAATACATTTCTCTTACAGATTCCACAACTGCATCGATCTCCTGTGGTTTTCTTTTATAGGTAGGCAGTCATCTACTTTTATCTGTGATTCAATATTCCTTGCAGGGAAACATCCAAAATGGCCTCAGAGATTAATTACATTTACTTCTGCCTCTCCTCTCTGAGTATGCCCTTTATATAATGTTTGCTGTTCAGCAACATAATTAAAATAGATTTTATACTATTTGGTGGCACTCAGTACAAAATGTACTGAAGTACAATACTATACATAAAGAAGACTGTTACAGAGAAGACTGATTGTCTTTGGTTTGTGGTCATTTTACTCTATCACTGCATTTTTAAAAAATAAACCTGGAACATCAGAACGTCATTATTTATTTCCTATTTAACCACCCATTTGGTTAACCCCAAATTGTTTTAAGACCGCTGATTGTTTAAGAGCTCCCTATATAGTACCTGCTCAGGAGAGAATGATACACACTTGCTCTTCTGATACCCTCCCATGTGTGAATCTCTCCTCGCTGCACACTGCAGGCTCCGCAGTGACAGCCAGGACACTCAGCACTGCCTGCAGGAGCACAGCGCCCCCTATTGGACACCCTGCAGGCTCCGCAGTGACAGCCAGGACACTGAGCACACCTAGAGGAGCACAGCGCCCCCTACTGGACACCCTGCAGGCTCCGCAGTAACAGCCAGGACACTGAGCACACCTAGAGGAGCATGGCACCACCTAGTGGACACCCTGCAGTCTCCGCAGTGACAGCCAGCACTGTCTGGAGGTACACCTGGCCTCTCACTGGTGTCACTACTAGGCTGTGGATACCTGATAAGCATAAGAGCTACAATAAGAGCTGCGATTTTCCAGATAAGATAAGAGCTACGATTTTCCAGAATGAGTCAGATCCTAAGCTCTTTAACCCCAACACTAAGTTGTGGAGCTCTACGGCTGTGCACATGTTTAATCCCACAATGACTAGTGACATGACCCTGACTCAAACTTTCCATGCCTGGATCATGAGCGAGTGGTACACTTAGCAGACATCTTTACTGCCCTTCTTGTATTCTGAATGGTCAAACTGAGAACATTAACACAACTATTTGCCAAAAAAGACTGTTAAGAATCCTGTAATCACTAGCTGTATTGCAACTCTGAATGATGCGATTTCAAGATTTCCAGCCTCTGAAGGGCAAGCTAATCATGACTGATCTCTCATTCATAGCAGACCACACCAGACCTTTCAATGTTCCCATGACAGAATCCATTTTCATTACCTACATTTAACATCACGGTGCTGGATATCACACTGCAAGTCTAATTAGTCATAGACAGCAAGAAATACCAGAAACATCACTACGCAGATTCAGCTTAAGGCCACTTCTGGTAAACAGTTACTGTACAGAGGGGGCTGTCTGGAAACTGGACACTTACGGCATCTCCTCTGGTAGGACGTCGGCCAGGATATTGATGGAGTCTGTCTTGGCCTTTGAGGTAGGAGCGGCAGCTAGCAGCAGTTTTAGCAGGGCTATCTGAAAGAAAAAAAGAAAGAAGTCAAAACTTCATTTCATCCTTACAAATGGAGTATGCAATATCCGACACGTAATTTGATTTAAATTTCAATACTTGGCTGCAAAGGTTCACTAAAAAGACTTAATGATACATTTTGATTCATAATTTCTGCTTTGGGGCATTTACAACTGGAAAATGGGATTCTCAGTCAAATCGGTGAAATGCAAAGAAACAAAAATGTTGTTTTCCTCTTCCCTTCCCCCTCTCAGGTCCTCCTCACTCACCACATACTGAGACAGGTTGGATAACATTCCCACATACAGAATTTCAGTTGGCATCTCTTCCACCTCTTCTTCTCCCTGTCCAATTCACACAAAGGAGAGAGTCGCTTACAAAATGGAGAACAGAAAAACAAAACAGAAAGAGGAAGAGTTTTGCTTCACTTTGGTTACACATTATTACCACCCCTGCACCCCACCAAATCCTCCTTACTCTGTACATGCACTAGAAGCTTGGGCCTCCAAGAGCAAAGTTGACTGAAATGACTGGACCTTAACATTTCTGTAAGAATGACATACAGTTTTACTGCTGTGTGTCTGGGTATGCAATATTGCCACTACCCATCCCCTCCAAACCACATCTAATACAGACCTCACCAAAATGTCATGCAATGGTTCCACAGGGTCATGTAAACTGAAGACCTCTTCTGGACTGGACAACCTAATTTATTAGCATTAATTTACACGGCCAATGTTTTTTTTAAAAGTGATTTACAATTTTATACCAGATTAGATGACTGGACACTTTAATGAAGAAAGTAGATTGAAATATCTTGTTCAAGGGTTCAAGCCGTGCTGCACCTGGGATCTTAACCCACAGACTTCCAGTTATAACACCTGAGCTCTAACCACAGTTTCACTGCAGCCCAGCATATTTGGATAAATAGTGTGCAATATTCAATATTATTGAACTAGACTTATGTAGAAAAATATCACAAAGCAGTACTGTCCTATAGTTCTGCAAGACCTGTTGTGCTACTGTATGATGAAACTATTTTTGAAAGCTTGCATTTTTATCCTCAGGTGAGCATTATAATTGCATTGATGTGTCTTTCCAAATAAAAGACTTATGCAGTCCCTCACAAATGTATTCACTCATTTCCAGTGATGTGCCAATGATTGTGTTGATCTACAAATTATATAGAAAACACGTTTCGGCCGTGAACCCTTCTTCAGGTGGCTTTACAGCTGAAACGTGTTTTCTCTCTTCTCTTTTCAGCATGGAATAAACCTATTACTTGTTCCTTTGCAGACTATGCATGCTGACACAGCTACCCACCTAAACGATTGTTTTAATACTTCAGATGCATAAAATGACTTCAGCTCACACAATTGCCTGAGCTGCTCTTATTCAACTAAATGGAAGGGGTTAAGGCATAGTGGGACAGGGGGTAGCCTTGCTGCCTTGCAGCACTGCGGCCTCTAGGTTCAATTCCAGTCCTGCAGTGCTTTCTGTGTGGAGTGTCCATGTTCATGTACGTTTCCTCTGGGTGCTCTGCTTTCCTCCCAGGGTCCAAAGACATGCTGGTAGCTGAACGGCCTTCTGGGAAAACGGACTCTGGTGTGAGTGTGTGCCTGTCTGTGTTTGTGTCTGTGTGTGCCCTGTAATGGACTGGTGTCCAGTCCAAGGTGTACCTCGACTTGCACCCGTTTTTGTTTGGATAGACTCTGGCTCCCGCATGATCCCCAATTGGATGAAGCACTTAGAAAATGGACTGAAAAGGGAGTAAATACTTTTGTAAGGACTGAAAATCCACATCTCTGTGGAGCAGAGTTTACAAGAAGGGCAAGTGGGTTTTGGTGAATTTATGGATTTTCTTTCCTCCGGTCTCTCACTGACCATGGTCATTGGACACTGCTGAAGCTCATCCTCTCTCTTGATCTGGACTTCTGCAATTGAGACATACTTGTGCTGTCAACAACAAGCAACAAGAATTTTAAACAGTTTCACAGAAATTCATGTTCATCTATATTCTGATCTGTATCTGTACTGATAAAGATAACGAGAAGAATATGAGTGGCCCAGCCAGTGAAGATTCTAACCACTACAGAAATTCTCAAACTGTAACTATACATCCAATAGTGAATGCATGTTTCTCTTGTATTGTCTTGTACATTTACAACAGTCTCAGAACTGAACGGATTCACAATGGGCAGGATGCTTGGTGATTCTTCCAAATTTGGGGGATATAAAAATACTCTCAGATTCTAAATGAAAAACAAGACCTTTTCTGATCGTTTAAAATAATAATAGTTCATGCCTAAGCAAAACATGCAGCCCTTATCTAAAGACTTCTGCAGTGCAAATCTGTCTCTTTCTATAATATTGATCTTCTCCTTAAAAAGGAGTTGACATCTAGCCAAATTTATACACTGCTGAATGAAGTGAGACTAATGGAGCCTGTAGAGCCCCCCAGTTCAGCAAGATATACTGTACATATGCTCATAAACCTGCTTTCACAGACAGACAGCCTGGAACCAGCTGTGTCCAGGCACACTGTGCGCCAAGTGCCGGTTGAGTCAGCATGACCACAACTTGATAAGCCACCATTGCTCTATCAGTCTGCTTAGTCTTCATGCCCAGGTCTAGCATTTTACCTGTTTAAGCGTCTTCACACTTTCATGGATGGGTCTTGGCAGACCAACCAATGTTTCTGTATCACTACAAGAGATCAGAAACAAAAGGTCTAAGTTACCACTTGCTGTATGCTGCATTATGCTTAGGTTCCACTGGAGTCATAAGAGTGGAAAAGGATAATGCAATTTTAATGAGTCTGGAAAGACTGGAGCTATCAGCTGGGGCCACTGCTTGTATTCCAACAATAGATGTTTACAGTATTTGGTCATATGCACCATTTTTGCTCTTTATAAAGAAGAACCTGATAACAGAGACACCAAAGGCCTACATAGAGAAATATAGACTGCCGTGATAATAATATTATGGCTCAACAACATTTTTTTTTTTTCACTTGGAACGTAATCTAGAATTCTATTAAGGCATCCTGGAAAACAGTTGAAGAAAGTTTGCCGGACAAAATAAAGACACAGATATAGGAATAAAGAGAGTGCAAATGGTCATTTTCTCAGCCTAAAGAAATTAGCAAGAGACCAAGACTTCTGCTTCCTGAGAACACATTTACCAAAGCGTGTGCCAGCTGGCGTATGATGGCTCAGGAGCACAGTGTCGGCCCAGGCAAAGAGGAAGCTCACTGACTATTTGGCACTTGACTGTCAGCCTCTGCCAGGGGAGCAACAGACTGTAGGCTCCTTCTCTGAGCTAATTCAATTCTCACCTCATCTCCAAGATTCTGGGACGATTGTGATGCCACGGGGCAACTTCATTTCACTGCTCTTCTCTTCACACTTTATTTCAGTTCAGTGTACACGATTTGTAGGACATTTACAGCAGGTTTAAGCAGGTTTGTCCTCTCTGTTGTTAGGTTTATGTTAAAGGTTACAAAAAGTTATGTAATAGTGAGAGTGTAAATCCTAAAACTAGGATAAAATATCCCAAAGTGTAACTTTCAGAATTATTTTGTGAATACTTTCTTGATACCACATATTTCGGCACGTACTCACGAGTTATATAATTAATTCATGTAATTATAAGTAAGGTTGAGAGAAGCCTGTTTAGTCCATCATGCTTATTCAAATGTAAGTTAATGGATGATCCAGGAAACCCAACAATTTATTAGTCGACAGACAAAACAGTGATTTAATAGCTGGATGACCCTTTGTAAGGCCCTCTTTAATATTTTCTGGCAGCAACTGCATTCTCTGACTCTGTACCTGTATCAGGATGACAGAGGTTCTCACTTACTTTCCAAGGGTGAAGCCGATGAATTTATTTCTGCTCGTTTCCAGAAAGTGTTCGATGTCTTTCTCTCTGTTTAAAAACAGAACTTGTTAGTAACTGTATGGACAGGACTTCATAGGCATTTTAATTCTATGTTCACACTTAGAACTGCCTGAAATTCATTTTACTTAATATATCATGGTATGTTACTCACGAATAAAGGTATAAGGATTTTGTTTTTTAATGAAAATATGTTCAACAAATATCTTGCTAGTTTTCAAATACTTGGCATGGTCTATTCTGTTACAGGTTTTTAAAGTTTTCAATATTCTATAATTCTAGAGTCATCTGCAATGAAACGGGCTCTGAAAATCAAACACATCATAAATATTTAGCAGTGGGCTACAATAAGATAGAGTTTTTTTTAATATTGTCAGTGTAACATTTTGCTGCACAACTTAGAATATTGGATGTATTCTTTTTTACCCAAATTTAGCTCATTGCATTTTTCAATTATCTTTGTGGATAATTTGAAAAACAAAACAATGATAATTAAGAGACATCTTTTCCCCTGCTGGGAACAAAACAAAAACAATGATAATTAAGAGGCATCTCTCATCCCCTGTTGGGCACAAAAGTAAATTTCAGCAGACTTCTGATGCGACGAGATTGAGAAATTATTTAGTGTGTCTTAATATTCTGAAAATGGGTAAAAAAAAGTTTGGAGTGGAAATGCTCCTCAGGGCTAAATTCTGCCTGACACTTAAAAATATTGCCTTATTGCTTTGAAAAGGTACAATGAAAGCTGCTCAGAGGGAGTTGGAACTTCGTGCTGTTAAGCCTCAGCTCTGTCTCTACAGACTGACTGGAACGCAGGTCAGGAATCCCTCACCTGCTGACCTGTGATAGCCAGCTCCATGCCTGAAGAGGTAATCGATCAGCAGGAAGTTTTTTTTCTCAAGTCTTTAACCATTGAGGCACTAACGAGGACTAGAAAACTTGGCTACAGTATAAACAAAACAGCTATAAACAAATCTCTGTTTTTGTTAAGACCAATTGCTGAGTACTGGATATTTCAGCAAACTTTCCAACATGAAAAGATAAATCCCAACCATGTTTATACGGTATTCTCAGAGCTGCTGCGGAGTCAGCACAAATGGAAGGAAAACACGTGAGCCTACTGGGACACGAACACCTACCTGACTTTGGGAGCCCAGGGCAGCCCCTTTGGAAAGGACAGCCTCTCCGTTGGGGGCCGGAGGGGCGGTGGTGGGGGAGGTGGCTGGATGATGACGTCTCTGTCGAGGGGGTCCACCTCGCCCTCGATGCCGCTGTCCGCGTCGTCATTGTCCTCCTCCTCGTCCCTCGCCTCGTCGTTCTTGAAGGGGTCGCGCTCATTGTAGGTGTCCAGGCTGTCCTGCTTCACCAGGGGCTGCAATGTGGAAAGGAACCATAGTCGGGAGGTAAAATCTCTTCATTTCCCACACGACAAACACTCGTCATGAAACAGGTTAGAGTGAGGAGCCGGATCAGCGTGCGAGCTGCACAGGAACCAGTGGAGGTTAATGCCACAGTGCGTAGGAGAGAGAGGGTGTGAGCAGACTTCCTCTCCCCCTTATACACTTGAAGACAGCTCCACAGATTGAGTGTTTTGAGCTCTAAACTGTTCAGCATGGAATTAACTTACTCTTTTTTACCTCAACTTGTGTTTGACTGCAAAAATTCCTTTTTTTATTCAAAAGGCTTCATTAAAGTAAAGGTCTCTGCTAGATTCAACGTCTGTTCATTATATTTTTTCCTACACGTTTTTCATATCAGAGCTGAAACGAATGCTCTAGTACTCTGGTGATTTTCCCAGTTGTCTCACAAACAAAAAGATGTTCTAACCGAGATAACACCCATTAAATCTGAGGGACCTTTGAGTTGCATTAATGGTACTAACTTTATTACAAAGCACTTCCACTTTCCATAGCATATTCAATCTACCTTATGCTTTTATTAAAGAAAAACATAAAGACATGCTTCTATTTCTCAAGTGTCTATTGACCTCTTTCTTTCAAAAACCTCCTTTAAAATAATATTCAGCTTCAGTGCACTACAGCTAACTAGCAGCAATGCTGTGAAAGCTCAGACAGCTAAGAAGCACATGAAAAGAATTAAAATAGCAAAGGATGCAACTTTAAAATAAAGGGTAATCAATTTGGACTGACAGTACAGATACCTCTAAGGATTAACATACATTATTTCAACTACTAGAAAGTAGAGTGAAATATATTTTTAACTTCTGCTGCAGTATAATTGAAGAAAATAGTTAATTGAGGCCATCCACTGTATGTGTGAACTTATAAAATCACTTATATCAATTAAAAAGTGTAAAAAATAAGAGTGCAGGTGTTAGGCATCGATGTAATGAACTCTGCCTTCACTACTGCCGCTGTTCAGCTGAATACTAAATATGAGACATCAGAATGGAGAGACAATGTGCATTTTCATTTGAAAAGCATTTATGCTAATCGAAAAGCTGCGCTGTGCATTCAAAGCCTCCTTCAAAGCCAAATGTAAAGGAAATAAGAAGCTGCATGACACAATCAGCCAGCCTCTCCCATTTCTCCTGTGTGCAGGGGCCACGCAGGGGAAAAAGAGCCACACCAGTCCAAGACAAAAATGTGGGAATGTGGGAATAGACCTGTTTCTTGAGAAAGGGACTGTCGCCTTCCAAGCTATCAGTAAAGGCCATCTGCAGAAATATAAGGAAGTGCGGGTGTAACCAAGAAAAACATCAAAACCACCCTTGGAAAAAAGGCTTCCTACGGAATACCTCCTCTGTGACATGCATGACCTGATACCACCATTTTCATGTGTAAATTCACCTGTGTGGACCTGCTCAAGTACTGTATGCCTTTGAAGGTACTATCATCTCAGACGAAAGAGGCTCAGATGTTCTCTACAATGGATTACTACTGCATAGATTACCACAGAATCTTCCAGTTTGCATTTCTAACAGCTGTATATGCTTTACAGAATTGTTCAGTGATTGATACCAGAGTTCATTGAGATATTTAAAAGTAATTATTTCTAATAAACAGAACTGTGTGGTGTTTCACCTTTGCTTTTCAAGATGATTCAACTGTGTGATGCAATATTTAAAAAGGCATCAGTTAATTAGATTAGTGTACACAGTTGTAGGGCAGTGTGTACAGATACAGCAGTGTTGCAGAGCAGTGTGTACAGATACTGCAGTATGACAGAGCAGTGTGTACAGATACTGCAGTGTGACAGAGCAGTGTGTACAGTTACAGCAGTGTGACAGAGCTTTGTGTACAAATACACCAGTGTGTATGGATACAACAGTGTGACAGAGCAGTGTTTACAGATACAGAAATGTGTACAGATACTGCAGTGTGACAGAGCTGTGTGTACAGATACAGCACCGTGACAGAGCTGTGTGTACAGATACAGCACCGTGACAGAGCTGTGTGTACAGATACAGCACCGTGACAGAGCAGTGTGTACAGATACAGCAGTGTTGCAGAGCAGTATGTACAGATACTGCAGTATGACAGAGCAGTGTGTACTGATACAGCAGTGTGACAGAGCTGTGTGTACAGATACAGTACTGTGACAGAGCTGTGTGTACAGATACAGCACCGTGACAGAGCAATATGTACAGATACAGCACCGTGACAGAGCAATATGTACAGATACAGCACCGTGACAGAGCAATATGTACAGATACAGCACCGTGACAGAGCAGTATGTACAGATACAGCAGTATGACAGAGAAGTGTGTACATATACAGCAGTGTGACAGAGAAGTGTGTACAGATACAGTGGTGTGGTAGGGCTCAGTCTCTTTACCCTGCGGCTGCGTCGTCCTCGCCTCTGCTGCTGCTGCTGTTCGATGAGCTCCATGGCTGAGGCGGGGGGTGAGGCGGCCCTCATGCTGCGCACCACCTTAATGCTGTCCTCGGGAAGGGCAGGCAAATGCAGCTTCTCTCGTCGCTTCACCTTCAGCTCCTGCAGCTCTTCAAACCCCCCCAGAGTGAACTGCCACACACATACACAATGATCCTGCTGTGAACAGAGCTATCAGAGCTGTGGACAGTCCTAACCACTGTTACCCTTACAACATGCAAGATCTTTACATGTTTTACCTGTGGTATGAGAATATGCCTACAGAGAAGAGCTGTTGTATTGAAGAGAGGATGTGTCTGCATTTCATTGAACCATCTTCAGTCTAGACATGGAACTGATAAGAAATATTTATATACAGTATTCGCTATTTATACATTCACTATTATTTAATCAAGTGTGTGACTGGTTGTACGTCCTGAGATGGAGAAACATCCTGTCCTGGTTGTAACCTTGCCTTGTACAAATTGTTCCCAGGATAGACTCTTAGGGAGAGCCTATGACCTTGAATTGGATAAGCGGTTATGGAATTTGATGTGATGACCCCTATATAATCAGAAAACATATGGTATCATTAGTCTGACGCAAAATGGGCAATTGTTGATAAATACACAATATGTGGAAAAATCAACATATTCATATTCATATTCATATTCAATCAATTTCATGCATTTAATTACACATAAATCTGCAGTTCATTTTAATAATTATGTTCCAGAATTGAAAATGCATTTACTTTATGTATATAGCCCAAAAATGTACATTCATGAAAAATACTGTACACTTTTAAATGCAGAACAGCACTGCTAGTTTGCATACCTAAAAATACATCTCTTGACTATTCTAAGGCATCAGCCTGTTATAGTGCTATCTTTGTTCTCACTGCAAAGCAAGCCACTAATCAGAGGACAGCGGTCAGACTTTAAATAAGACATCTATTGTCAAATTTTTAATCTTGGTGTGCTTTGAAAAAACAGATGTGGTGCATAGAAACTACAAATGTGACAGATATACTGGAAATTATCAGGAAAACTCATTCTTTGTCTATAAGATGGATCTCGGGGGTGTATAGTGTAGGACTCTTAACCTGCTAAGGGCTTTTTTGTTATTATTGATTTGCACTTTTAGATGGAATACATTTTACAGTGTACGTAAGATGCACAGCCTGAGTGTCCTCTATGATAAACAGCCTGGCCCTTCCCAGACATCTCCGCCATCTGGACTTGTTACATGTGGGCAACAGAGCAGAAGAGCAAAGATACTGCATTGCAGAGGGTCAGCTCTCCCTTCTCAGGAGAACTACCACAAAGAAACTGGACTAAGTAGAAATCCTGGAAGGATCTGACTCACCAGGACAGTTTTCCAGAGCAGCAAAAGGACTTTCTTCATAGGAAAGTGTGGAGCATTCATGCTGCAAAACTTGGTCACCATGGTAAACAGAAGAAGAGCAAATGGCTCTCCATTATACAACTGGGAACCTACAGGGATGTGAAGAAAGGGCACACTTATGTCAAAAGACATATAAAATAGATACACTTCCAATAAAGGCTCTAGACATCATTTTATAATATACTGTATATATTTCCATATCATATTCTAAATATTTTCAATCCAATATATACTGTAACTTTGCTCAAATTCCATAACATTTGAAGAGACAAGAGGAAACTACATGGAAGTGCATTTAAAACCAAGAACTGGAGCACATCTTTACATAAAGAGTTAAAGGAACATTAAACAAGTTACTCAGCTATGTCGTTGTATCCTGGCCTCTTTCAAGAAATGGCTGGATGGGATCTTGGGATCAATTAACCAATAACTACCATACAGGCTGTTGTAACGTTATGTCCTTAACTTCATTAGCCCCACTCATTAGTTCTTGAGTATTTACACATCTCATCTCTCTTTATGTGACTATGGTTGTCCCATACCTAGTTCTGTCCTGAATGTCTCTCTGGCTGTTTTCCACTCTGGGGTTTCCTCTTCTGTCTCCAAGCGAATGATTTCCACCATGAGGTACATGATACTCAGCAGAACCCTGAGCAGCAAGTTAACAACACTAACTTCAGTAAAACTCAGTTTAAAGACAGGCACAGGAAAGAAAAAATAGGGCAAAAAATGGGGATAAGACACATAGCAACTCAGCTGTAGAATGGCATTTTTTTCTACTACTTCTATCTCTATAATATGAGGAGACACTGACAGACGATTCGATCTTTGCTGTATAACGAATCTCACTGGGAGAGTGCTGGCCTGACTTGAACAGGAACAGTTAATTTATGAGGAAACGCCAAGTTATGTTGCAGAAAACCCTTCAGGAAAAAAGAGCAGTGTCTTATTTTTTATAGCTTTACATGTCAGTCCATTTAATGAAGCTGCAGCAAGAATGACAAGCACAAACTATTGCTGTAACTCAGCACCACTAAATACGTATGAAAGAGAATCCAACACAGCTGCCTTTGCCTTCTAATTAAATCATGATAATGGAAACAGACAGTTTTACACACTTTACAAAAGAACCTGACATTTCTGTGACCTTTAAATACCCATTCCATGCACTCTTATTAAGATTTGGGAAATAACACTTTGAATTTATTCATAACACAAAATTCAATGTACTGTATTTGTGTTGGCTCCAGGCAGAAATAAACATAAATTTGCTTAACATTACTAAAACACTATATGATGTAACAGATTTAAAACATTAATACAAGATAAATTAATAGTTTAATTTTTAAAGATTCTACTACTACAATCTACTACTTACACACATAAGAACAGAATTCAATGTTGCTTTTTGTAATTTGAGAATCCTATACAGCTCTCTAATGTTTATTTAAAAATCATACTTATTAATTACATGACAGGGGAAATTTGAAAACACTACCACCTTGCAATATTTAACATTATAAATCCATTATAAATCCCTTGAGAGAAATAAATCTGTTAAGCAATCCCAGACTTGGCCTTCATTAGCTGTTGAATTAATCTGGGGTGTGTCCATTCAGACTAGTGTCTATGAGAGAGCGAGTTCATGGTCTCAGGCCCTGCGTGTGTATACACTATCATCACTGCAGCCTTACCTGAGCTCTGTGCTGTCAGCAAGAGAAATAGCTGGCTTTCTCACAGCACTGCTGCAAGCCTGGTTATTACTGGAAAACAGCAGGAAAAAAACATGAGCAGAACTTGGAAGGGGACCAATTTTTGCCGGTTATACAGAACCCTTTGGTGTTGACTCCTTTATAAAACTGGGATATCTTGCCTCTTTTCACACAAACCAATCCTAGCTAGCAGTTAGAAGAACTGCTTAATCAGAGCTGTGAACGAGGGGACAAATTCAATCATGACTCTAATGCTAAACCTGAACCATCAGGAGTTGCATCTTTTGAAAGTCCGTAGTGTAAAGAAATGTGAATTTTCTTTAGTAAAGGCTATTTTGTTGTACTTTTAAAACTAAAAAGGTAGCATCACTGATGTTTAGCCATCATAACTGCATAACATCATTGGAAATATACTGCATGTACAGATTCTTTTAAAAAATAGATATTTTTATAATGTGGTTTCGCTCACTAGGACATGTGCTTCTGTGTAATTAATTCACCAAGATAGACAACCCGGGCTGTGATATCACAGCTCTAAAGGAATTAGCCCTGGCAAAACTCTCTCTTAAAAAAAAAAAAGACAACAGAGACTTCCGAAAATATTCACAACGAAGCTGTTCTCTTGAAGCAAACAGAGCTGTAACAGTTTCCAATCTCCCTTGGAGAATGGCTATAAAAAAATTACACTTTGAAGCCTGACTTTCTAAGAATACATCGCTGTGTGTGGTGCACTGCAGCTTCATTGTGCTCCTGCTGGCCTCATCTACTCTGTCCCCCCGAACATATCATGGGCAATTAAAAAGCTGTGGCATGTCTCTGCAGAGGACAGACCTTCCACAAATCCACAGGGCTCTAGGAGTGTAGAGGCTTTCTATTTGAAGTGAATTGTGGCACACAGTCTGGAATACAAATCTGTCATGAACGATTTTAGAAACCGGTAGTTGGGGAAACGTACAGTTATCTTTGGAAAAAAGATAATATTAGACAGTAGACCAATATAAAAATCAGTTGAACAGGTCAGGGAAGCAACCAGACCATTTGAAACCAGTGAAACTTCCCTTCAAGGCTTAACCACATCAACAGCACACACAAGGAACCCAGAAGGCACAATTTAACTTTTTCATTTTGTACCTTCCACACAGCAGAACTCTCAAGGCACTGTTCAACAGAGATTCTGATTATTGATGTTGAAGTGAAAATTTCCTTCTTTGAGAGTGATGAACCAAATAATGTGAATCTGGTTAGAGCTGTTGTACTTGTGCATGTGGAACCACTTCCTTTTAATTCTCCAGAGACTGCATGGGATCAAAGTCTCTGTTATTATTATGAGCGCTATTTAAGAAAGAAAAAAATGCAGCAGTATAGTTAAAAGATGGACTATAATTGTGCAATAAAGTTTTCAATAAATCTGGAAGTAGATGTAGTACTGTAGTTCATAGGTACTGTAGATTCAATGTACTTTTAGTTAGAAAAGAGCCACACACTAGTATATTTAGTACCTTAGGAACAAGTCACAGGTTTATTCCACCTGAAGAAGGCTCCACGGCCAAAACGTTGTTTTCTTTCTTCTCTTTTCAGCATGGAATAAACCTATGACTTGTTCCTTTGCAGCCTACACATGCTGATGCAGCTACCCACCTGAACTATTTAGTACCTTAGATGGTATTCCGGTAAAGAATGACTTCTTCTAGTCTAATATTAATTAACTAAAGGTATGTGTTAATATTTCAGCACCAGAAAGACAGAGTACCGGTTTTAACCGAGCAATATAACGTACATGGTTCCCTTGTGACACTACTAATAAATGATAACAAACAGAGGCAAGAGTAACACCAAGGTTTTCATTCAACGGCTTCATTTCACCAACGTCACTAGCTTTGCGAAGCTGTTTTTGGGACCCTATGGGCATATACTCAGATTTGTTCCTGTTTAGCTTAAAAAAGGTCTGCTGCATCCATATTGCAATGTTAAACTGATTGCTATAAACTGCAGATACCTCAATGAGAGTATCTGAGTGCCAACATCACAACAGTGAAACCATGATGGGAAATAATTTGACCAGGATGCAATATAGTCCCAGGACAAACCCTGGTGGAACACCATCAGCATTAAAACCGTCAAAATTTACAAACTGGTCCCTAGTAGTCAAATCAATTCAGGGAGGTACCAATAATAATTAACTAAAGAGGTTTGAAGAGCTCAACAATTCAAGGTTAGACAGTAATTGAGCTGCTACCATCACTACTCCAGAATTTTTGAGAGACAATGCAAACTGTAAAAAGGGCACTAGCTGTTTAACATGTGAGAGTCCCAGCCAGTTTTTTAACACAAGTGGGATTGCAAGTAACCATTAAGCAAACTGGAAAGAGACCATGTTTCAGAGACTCATTGTTGAATTTAGTAAAAATTGGACAAAGAGCTAAGAAGCTAGCTTTGTGTAGGGGCCTAGGGCACAGGAAGTGGGTTTTAACTAACAGATCAGTCATATATGTAGTATCAAAAGCTATGAAATAAGAAAAATATGAACTTGAGGAAGCAGGAGAGTGTGAAATAACTGCATTCATGTGTTACACTGTTTAGTGGAAGGAGAGAAAGCAGGGGGAAATTGAGGCTATGTGCAAACCCAGAGTGAAATGTAGCCAGTAAACCTGCTTAACACTTTTACTCTTATGATGTGATGTTTAAGGACGAAGTAGTCAGAACGTTGGTTTTACATTTCACAAATTACACCACAGTGTCCCCTGTGGCCATACAGAGGTTTTAGTCTGAAACCTACAATCCAGATGAGAAGAGAACAACCTAGTGGTCCAACACCAAAACACCACTTATAGCAGCAAACTGTTTTTTTTAAATGAGTACTTGAATCTACTTGAACACATGAAGTCCCTACTCACAGCTAGTTTTTAGCTGTTTGTCCATTTGTTACTGTTGTTTATGAGTCTCCAAAATGCAGTCCCCTCCCTGTAAGCTTAAAAGCTGCTGCTATCCCACTTGTCTTAAAAAAATGGCCAGGATTCCCACATATTTAACAGCTAGTTTCCCATTTCCAATTGCTTTAGCTTCATATGAAGTGCTGGTAGACTGCAAGTACGGCCCCTGCGATAGGACTGCAAGAGACTCACTCTATTTCCATGCTGAGCAGCTCCAGCAGCGCAGTGAAGGTCCCCATGTCATACAGGAGGAATATGTTGTGTCGAGACCAGTGGAGCACATCCAGCTCAGAGTCGCACTCATCAAATACACCTAGGGAACAGCAGGCACACAGTGCTGTCACATGTGAATTCAGTAATTAATAAAGAATTTTTCACATGACGCATGGTGTTTTGTTTTCTACAGCACAAACCTTGTGCCAAGTACAGAATGGCTCGGGCCACTTTCAGTCTTTTATCCCGGTTTGTAACCTCCAGTGCGTCCAAGAGTCTCATCACATAGGCCTTCTGCTCTGAAAGGTCCAGTTCTGTCCACTTCTTCTGCTTCACTGGGAGAGAACAAAAGGTCCTCTCAGTAACAAATCAGGGCAAGATTTCACAAACAAGGCAAGATCAACCACATTTTAACCTCTGCCGGGAAACTAATGTGAATGGACAATTATAATACATATTATGACAGAATACAGAATTATTCTATTGAGGAGACTCAACAGAAGCCCACTTAGTTCATATATGTTATATGTCTGTAAGATTAATTGATACTGAAACATAACCCCACATTTAATGGTAGTAACTGAACTTTTTTTTAGTACTACAGTATGTACTCACTTCAAAACAAGACACACATAGTATTTAGTATTAATTATTTAGTACATATTATTAATTATTTACATAACACAACAGCCTCTTCCTGTCTCCTACTTTAAACCTGACAGACAGATGTGGAGACCCTCAGCCCAGGAGTGCAGCAACAAAGCCAGTGAAACTCAGAAGAAACTGGCAATGACCTGAGTTTGGAGTTTTCAAATATTTCTAATAGGATTGTACTGATATAAGATGACAGTGGCAGGACAGTTCCAGTAAATGGGTATCTGGCATCCCTCCTCCATGAATGTTACCAAGACTGACCTGCCACATTTATCTATCAGTGACCCCCCCGAAGGAAGGAAACCCCAATTTGGTTTCCTTATGATACTGCAATAAGTGGAATCAATTTTAGGTATGACCAAACATAAATATCAGAACAAGGACTTCATGTTGGAGTAAACAACTATCTTGACATGATGGCTCTTCTACAACTGCACCTCAATAAGAAAGATACTGTTGTGGAAATGACTTGTTTCCTCATGGTAAGGTGGATCTATTTGAATTTTAGTACAGAGCTGTAAACTACATTGTCTGCAGTGTTGTAGTCTCAGCGTCCAGCCTCTTGAAAAAAGAAAAATTTGAATAAAAAATAAACAACAAGTGTGTTCTTACAAAGATGTGGAATGTACATCACATTTAGCCAATAATATTTTTTCTGTATTTTTAAAGCTTCCTGCATCTCTTTAGAGGTTCAGTTTCTTATTACTCTTCAGCAATGAATGCTAATCTCCTGATCTGCTTTTTCCTGGTCAATCAGGGACAATTTTGTCATTTTATTTCTCTCCTCTTTCTAACCTTCTTTCTTAAGCATGTATTCACTTTTCTTTGGAATATTTAACTCCAGAGTCCCCTTTCTCCCAGACGTTTTTAGTCTGGGAGAAAAATCCCCAAATAAATTTGTTCAACCACGAAATTGAGATTTGAGAGAATCCCACATCTGCAATCGATTTTCAATGACAATGAAAAATAAAGAATAAATCTCCTGACATTTCTGTATGTGCATGTTTGAAAGACCTCTCTATGTTCACTGCACAAAGATTTTAACTGATGGGAAACAGGTAGGCTGACTTGCAAAAAAATATTCTAAAGGAAGCTGGTACTCCACTGTGCACAAAGTAGTCACAGCCAAGAGTTCTGTCCCTATGGGAATACTGAATGGACACCATAATCTAATGTGTATTTCATTACAGGAGCATCTTCTCCTCTGTATGATGTTTCTACGCACTTGTAGCAAGGCTTTGTGCACTGAACATAAGATATGAGATAAGATCACTTTATTGGCCATATACAATTTCTTGCATTAGGAATTTGTCTTTTCGCAGCTCCATGAGACACAGAGACAGAGAGAAGCTTGGGATCAGAATGCAGGGTCATCCATTTTACATGTACAGCACCCCTGGAGCAGCTGGGGTTAAGGGCTTTGCTCAGGAGCTCAACAGAGTAGGATTCCTCTGCTGGCTGTGGGACTTGAACCGGCAACTTCCAGCCACAGGCACAGATCCTTAGACACAGAGCCACCACTCCACCCCCTGAACATGTTACAGAAGGTGATATCACCCCCTTGAAACTTATGCAGTGCAAACATTCTGCAACCTCAAAAGAATTGCAGCCACACTAGAGTAGATCTGAACTCATTACACATTGTAAACTAATCTTTGCAGATTATTTTTATGAAATTTAACATTTTTAATGATTATTAAATTTTAATGATTATTTTTATATTGTGTGTTGTCACCCAGTAGTTATCCACTTGCTCTGCACACCTCACACTAAGCACAGAGTACCATACTGTTACTTTACTTGTGTTATATTACTGTACTTTACTGTCCATGTGTGAAAATCCTTTAGAGCACTAAAGTTGTAATGTTGAATGTATGTCCTTGGGGTGCCAGCAATCCTAAATCTGATCTTCAGGAGTAAACTACAGTAGGAGGTCCTGGTTAGCGCTGTCTTACAAATTACATCAGTGCCGTACGAAAAAAAGGATTTGGTTGGGTTTATTAGAACTCCTCTTTTTCATAGTTAACATCTCTTCCTCTTAAACAATTGCTCAACTCTCTTTCAGGAGTAGGCCATCTGCAAAGCTGAGATTAACCTGAATATTTCTTATCTGGAATTGACTGTTCTTTTCTGACTGTGACCAGAAAGCACTTTAGACATTCTTTCTGTACTCAAACACAAAAATTTAATTTACCATTCTTTGCTATTTAAATCCTAAACCCAGTACTCAATATATACTGTAATGCATACGGCCGACATTGCTGGTTGTGTGAGCCGGTTTACCAGCGCGGTGACATCACCGCCATTCCCTGTGAACGTTTTGGACAGCTATCAAGCAAAATTAGTTTTACTCTATTTTATCATGTCTGGTTGTGATATGAAGAGCATTTAATGTCCAGGAGGCTATCTGATGAGTAAAAGACTGCTCTCCACAGACATTCAGGCTGAAGCCCTGCTTTTCTATCTAAAAAATGTGCATTAAGAAAATAAAAAAGCTTGCAAACAAGAACAGGTCATTGGTTCCACATGAAATATATGGTTTAAATAAAAGAAATGGACAAATTTCATAATGGTTGAGACCATACTATACAATGTGAACTACATATCGCTGCCTCATTTTGTAATGCCTTGAAGGTTAGTCCAATCAGTTAATTGGGAAATGGTTTGGAGATCCCAAATAATACAATTTTTCACATACTTTTAATAAAGTTTGGTATTTTCAGAAGAATAATTTACTATAGTTGCATGGGTTCATAAAAGTTTCTAACTATATTATGTTAACAAATGCTTTATCCTAATGTGGAAATGACACAGATCTTTCAGACTGGTAACTGAGATTCTCTACAAGTGGTGTGAGTTTTATTCAGTTCATAAGGAAGTGTTCTTCCTCAAAAGAAGATTAATGCATCATGAAGGTTTCCTGGCCCTGAAAGAACCAGGGTGCCTGACAAGAGAGACAGCGCCAATTGGTCTGTAAGCCATTGCTTGGGGAATCGGGATCAGTGTGAATCATCAACATCTGGATCAACCCACATTCTTAACAGTGATTTCACTCAGCAGCCTCTTTAAACATTTTTTTTTATAGGCAGTCACATTTTATCAGAACCTCCTGTTACAGAATAACAGACCACAGAGAAGTTGATGTTTCCGCTTTCCACATATTAAAAACAGTGTCATCTGTTTGCGCAGACTGAAAGCGCAGAAACAAACAACAGGCTTGGTGTGAAAGCTGAAGAGGCAGCAGCACTGTGTCAGTCACCGTTCACGTGGAATTCCAAAAGACTGGGTTTTACACCAATCCTGCAGGCTTTTAATCAGGTCAGACAACTCTCTTTTTTTCTCTGTGGAAAGATTAATTTGCATATTCCTGAGGCAGTCTAGAACAAACGGCCATTATGCAGAAGTCAAGTCAGGTGGGCACATATTTTACTGTCTTCCACCACATCCTGGTAAACTGTCCCAAACGGAAACAGATTAAATTGTAATCTGAGAGGTCCGGGCCTGAAAATACATGTTTGCTCAGGTATGATGTCAGACTGAGAAAGGATTTGTCTGGACCAGAGAAAAAAATTAATAAATAATTAATAGCCTAGTCTACAACAACAGTGGTCATCACTATGCATGCTTTGCCATTATTAAAATCCATTTCAAAATGATCTAGACTGCACTCTTCAGGAACATCTTCACACCCCTGGTACATACACACAGGAAAGACGATACTGTTATGGAGCATATTTGAACAAACCTTTTCAAGAGAACGCCCCGTTTAAGCTCTAGCATATTATCAGAACTTTGCTAATCCAGACAGACTCATTTCTATGTTTGTTTTTTTACCACAGAATTTGTTTTTACTTTCATAATCATCCTTTCACACAAACAAGCATACATTTCATAACTGCTTTTTCCAAATCAAGGTCGCATGGGAGCCAGAGGCTATCTGAGCAAGCAACTGACGCACGGCAGGGATAAACATACATGTACTGTACATCTGAATTTCAACTTTTATAAGAAATGAAAACATTGTTTTGTTGCTCACACCTGAAGAAGGCTCCTAAGCCGAAACGTTGTGTTTCCTTTCTTCTCTTTTCAGCATGGAATAAACCTTTAACTTGTTCCAATGTGAAAACATACAACTATGACACACAGATAACATCCAGACACTGCATGTACATACAGAGACTTAATTTTCATAAAAACATTTTTTAAGCAGAATAAAAGTCTCTGTGTTTATTATGTGATGTGAAAGCAAATAAATACAGATTTATTGTGATGAAGATCAGCAAAAGCCCCTTTTTTGGGAACATCTCCGCTAGTTCATTTACCTTTTCTCTGTATATATTTCTCACAGTATAAAAGCTGGAGATCCCCACCCTGCTTTGAACTCCAGTCTTGCATATTGTTTAAAGATTAAGCATTTTATAACAGATCTTGTTTACACCTATTAAACAGACATCCTGCTGATACGTAAACACTGCCTAGGCATAACATCTAGGTCATACAAATCTAACTATTTTGCTAGATTGACAGATATAGAACAACCCATGTGCATTAGCTGACAGTACATTTGGCAGAGCTAAAAAACGAAAAATAAAGTGCTTAGTGTAAATATCTGTGACACTAACTGAATGAGACGTGCAATATAAGAGCCTTTTCTTGACAGAAATCCTTTTACCAGGAATGTACAGGAATTATAATTTAATCTATACCTATCTTGAAGGCCACCGCATTTTATAAGAAATAAGCAACTAGAAAATGTTGAATAAGGCGTCACTGACACATCAGCATAGAAACATAGTGAAGGAGAATGCACGGATGGTACATTGACCCCTTTTACACCATCCCTGTAGACAAGGTCTGTAACTAGAGCAGGGAGACCACACAGATCAGAGCAGTTAGGGCAAACACTGAGATTCATTCTCTGTCTGCTGCAAGGAGAGTGGAAAAGGTTACGACCAGGAGCTTCTCATTAATCAGCACTTACCCAGCCTCCTAATGCAAGCTAAATAGTTTTGTGGGTTTTTTTAGTGACCACCTTATAAATGAAGATGGGTGTACTGTTCTACAGCTCAGTATGCAAGGTTTTCTTTCAGAAATGGTTAAGAAAAAAGGGCTTCTTTTCAAAATTAAAAAAATGCAGACTACCGGAAATGCTACTATCAAAGCTACTTCTATTCAACACAATCGTTAGCTGGGAAGTATAAGTAATGAGCACCTGTCAATATAAAATGTGTTGACTACAAATGGAATCTGGATGCCAGGTAATCGCTAGTGATCAAAAGTTAACTGCTCCTGTAAAACCCATCAGACTTCAGACTCACAATTAAAGAAATAAAAGTAAAGAAATGTCTGACATTCTTTTGCCTTCACCACTAGTGGTCTGCCTTCACCACTTTCCTTAACAAAGTGAACAAAGGAATTTAGACTTCTGTGCTAACAAGAAGGAAAAAAATGCAAAAAAATGTAACAAAGATGAATGTTAAATGCTGTTCACCATAAATCTAATTGTCAAACCAGACTTCACAATCTCACTTAGCAGGACAGGGACTGAAATATTGTAAAGTGAAGTTCATACGTGGCCACACTCTATTCCTGAGAGCAATGCTTGATTTGTTTCAAATACTTACTGCTTTTTAATACACAGTACATCACCCTGAGCACAGACTGTGACACAGACAATATATCAAAATAGGGTAGTTGAAATGTGATAATTCTAAGATTTGTTTTCTGATTATTTTTATCAGTATATTTCAACTTGGTCAAAATAAAATATTAGCAAGTTTAACAATACTGAATCCAGTGCATTTCTGCGAAACAATATACACTGAAAATCAAAGAATACATTCAAATCACTGCATGATGTCTCCTTCTAATGGTCTAAAAACAGCAAGCCTCCATCTAATCAAATAATAATGCCAAACAGAAATAGATTACTGTTATAATGAGTGCATAATAACACTAAGCTCAAGGTTCATGTTTCAGTGGCAGCTTTTAAAAATCGCTGAAAATTAGTGGCCTGGTGGCGCAGTTGTTAGAACTGGGACCCTGGATTTAATTCCGGGGCTGCTATCTGCATGGAGTTTGCATGTTCTCCCCACTTTCGTGTTGATTTCCTCCAAACTCCAATTTCCTCCCAGTTGAAGACGTACTGGTAGGCTCATTGGCTCCTGGGAGAGTGGACCCTTTTATAAGTATGATTGTGTGTGTCTGTGTCTGTATGTGCCCTGCGATTGGCTGGTGTCCTGTCCAGGGTGTATCCTATCTTGCACCCATTGCTTGCCAGGACAGCCTCCTGCTCCCTGGCTAACTTGTATTAAATAGAGTGGTCAGAAAATGGGTGAACGCCAATCGGTCAGGTCATGTTTTTAAAACTAGTGCTGACTAGGTTAGGTAGAGTGCCCATTGGACCCTGTGAGTTGTGTACTTGCAGTTATTACTGTTGAAGTCATTTTATGCCAGAAATGTTATTTGTTATTTTCCAAAAATGTTTATTAGATTGTTCTTTTGCTTGGAACCACCTCCATCTTATGCTTATGCTACCTTTATTACATGCATTTATTACATTTCTTACTTTTATTACATGCATATACATTTAATATATATATATCACACCTCTATATAATGGCAATAACACAGTGATTCCCAATCCTGGTCCTGGAGACCCACACACACCACAACCTAACTGATGTCAACTGGACTGATGTCAAGCTCTGGGCAGAATTACAGACTGAAGGAGGAAGCTGACTTCGATGTTGATTCCCTGCTTACACATGCTGGAGAGTTAAAAACGTTTTTGAAGTGTAATCAACAGCTTTGTTCTCTCCGAGTTCCCCTGTTGATAAGATGGTGTTTTAATAGACAGATTTCCATTAAACAATGTTGCAGATCCATCACTTAGGTAACGTGGTATTGAGTCCACCATAGTCTGAGAATAAACATATTTTTTCAAAAGTATGGGAAAGTAGTTCATTGGCTGTGGGTGGACCAACCCTGGTGTTTCTAATCTTACCACCCTAGTCTGGGACTTAACCTAAGCTGTTCCACTCTCCTGTTCCCACTGGCAGATCCTGTTTGACCAGGGATAGAAAAGCAAAACCTTTGATTTTATGATTCCTTGACACAGAAATTCTCAACATAGTGATGAATTTGACTTTTCAGTCTTGTTGAATAATCTTATTTTTGTCTCAAATGAGACTTTACCAATCTATTCCAGAAGCAGTAGACAACCTTTGTTGTCTACAATCCTCTTTCATAACAAGTAATCAGATGATCTACAGAGGACACTATAACCTGGTTATGTGATTATTCACACATTTATTTTGATCTCTGGAGAGTTTAATATGCTATGTTCACAGATCAACACCCCAGATCTCTCTGCTCTGTTATACCAATTGAACATGATGTACACATTCTGCATGTCGACATTATGTGATGTCTATCAAACTCATTTGCTCTTTTTCGGCACCAAGCAAATTAATCTAAGATCTTTTGTTTTCCACTTGGATTTACCATTAACAGAATTGACTAAATGTCCCTTTGCTGGTGCAAATATGAAAGAAATGTGTAAGTATTATAAAATTAAAAATAGTTTTAGATGTTATCGAAATTATTATATAAAAATAAGAGAAAGCATTATAGAACTATGGTCAGTTGTTTTGTAAGCTATCCCCTGGTAGAATGTCAGAAAAGCAGCCTACGATTACTGTATTTACATTGAATCTAGAGGATAAGATGAAGGCTGGAATTGCATTGAAGACCAATGCGCCAATTTGGATAATCTTCTTGAATTCATCAGAACAGTAAAACAATACCAGTTAAAAATTCTCCCTTCTGAACAAGACATCTACGATTACAAAAAACACCTGACTCCAAAGAGGTATACCTTGGCTCCGGAAATCTTCCTCAAAGCAGTCTCTGTTCAAACCGAACTCAGGTTCCTCGGTGTAACTGTAGAGTTCTGTCAACAACAGAGGGAAAAAATAACACTGTCAATGATAGATGGCTGTTTGAAAAAAGAAACTCTGCACTTGGACACAACTGAGTCGCAAGTGGTCATTACATCAACATGTACTTCTAGAACAGAACGTTTAAGGAAAGCGTCCACTTCTATTTACATCAGTCCGGTGTATTTTATATTATTCTTCTCATAAGGACTTGACATTCTTGATAATTTCTGGCTACATTCCTTCAATAAAATAATACTGCGCTTCCAAAGACAGAAAACTTGGTTGGTGAAGAGGAAAAAAAAATACAAAGTGGGGGAATTATAAACTTGATAATAAATTACATAATCACCAGGATCATTCTGACTCCTATAAAAGTGCATTTTAAAGTCAAATGCATAAAAAAAAGGCCTTTGATTTTCGTGCCCGATTAAACAATGATTATAGGCACACGCATTGCCATTTGATAATAATGTGCCTTGGAATTAAACCTCAGAAGTGCAGAAGCAGATAAAAATAGCTTTTGCGTTCAGCCTGGAACTTGAGCATGTAATTGACGTGAACTTCAAGGGCAGAAGCATTCACCGGGAACAAAGTGTCGGCAAGTGGAAGCCAGACTCAGGGCTGAGAGGTAGTATCAACAAAATGCCAAGAGCAGATGATACCTAACTCATCTCACCTGAAAGTTCAGCCATAAGGGTGTCAGAGTCCCCATATTCAAACTCCAGGTTAGGAGATTCCATGGAGCCCTGAAACACAACATTCGACAACAGAGTTCATGAAACAGGACAAGAGTTCATCATATACCCAGTTTAAAATTAGCTTTTCATGCATTTTATATTTCTAATTTGTCTTCCACCCTTTGTTTTTACAATTCCTATAGACAGGACAAAGATTTAATTCTGTTTTTCTTTTGGTGTATTATGTCTGCTTCAGCAGATAATGTGCTTAAAATGCACAGGAGCCAACATGCCCCAGATTCTAAGTAAATTAATAATGGTTACCAGGAAGTATTCATCATATGCAATCTGACATTTCATTTAACCATTGGTTAGACTGGATCTTAAGAGCTTGCTGCATATACAGCCACTAACAGTCTTTCATAGCACATTTGTGAAAAGCAGGTACCCACAAGGATGTTTTTGATTAACCAGATAAATACAGAATATGTTTCATTTACTTTCCAAACTGAGGCACTCAGACCTTTTTGAGTACCAAACATGCCTTTCTTTGGAGCAGGAATATAGAAAACAGCTTCAATAAGCTCCAAGCAAACTTTGGTTTCTTTCCATGATCAGTTTTAAATTAAAATAAAACAAGCTCCTTTTTTTCCTTTCTTTTTGTATTTAAACATAGCACCTTGTAATGTATTTTTTCCAAAACACCTAATAAGCAATATCCTAATGACTCGGAATTAACATGATCAATTCTACATTATTTTTATCATTGACATAAGAAAAAAACAGCTTCTCTAAAATAACTAACCTGACCTAAATGCATCTACATCTCATAGCAGATGCATTTGGTTACTTGCATAAACCAATGCTTCACACAGCAAAAACAAAAGCTCAAAGTGAAAATGTCTCAGGTGGCAGGAGAACCTATTACTTTTAAGGCTGCAGAACTCAGCCTGGTCCTAGCTACACAACTGGTCCCCCTAAAGGATCAGTGAAAAAGTAAATACAGGTACAAATTCAGGAATACCTTCTTTGTTCTATAGCACTGTGCTAAATAAACTAATCTGTGCCAGGTATAACTTCTTAATTATTAACAATGTCTGAAAACAGAAATCCAGCATCAGCAGAATGATGGGGGGAATAATCTCTAGACAAAAGACACTTATTAGCTCTGAGCTGAAGCTCAACACTCAGGAATTTCTACTGTAATAAAACACTTCATTTACATTTTGCAGAGTGACAGCTAGCCTGTTTGCAAACCTGTTTGCAGACCGATGTTACAGCCTCAGTCTCCAGCTTAGCTTTATATTTTTATCTGTAGTAACAAATGACAGAAGAGATGGTGGTCAGAAAATGAATACTCACTAAGTGCAAACTGAGAAGGGCTAAGCTGAGTGAACACAGAGGGTTTCTATTTATTTCCCTTAGAAGTTGAACTGTGATGAGACACATACTGTAAGAGCTCTGAAGAAGAACGGCAGTGCTTCATCTCAAAGGTTTGATAAGCCATACACTAAAAAAAGGAGCCAATCTTCTTTAGAAAACAGAAACACCTTTTGCACAAAAAACGAATTGATATACATACTGCATTCTTTTCATAAGGACTTGACATTCCTGATAATTTCTGGCTACATTCCTTCATTAAAATAATACTGGACTTCCAAACACAGAACATTTGGTTGGTTAAGAGGAAAAAAAATACAAAGTGGGGGAATTATAAACTTGATAATAAATTACATAATCGCCAGGATCATTCTGGACAGTATGGCATGAAAGTACAGCCAAGAACACGAGACACTTCTACTCTACTCAACTCACTTCTCACTCTACCCACTTCTACTCAAAGGATTGTGGATGTATGGAAAGGGCTGCAAGCTGGTTTTGAGGGCAACATTCTGGCTTCTTTCAACAAATGGCTGGATGAGATCCTTGGATCACTTAACTACCAACTACCATAGGCTGTATGGACCAAATTGCCTTCTCATAAGATTGTAAACATTCTTATGTTCTTGTGGATGTAAAGAAGGCTCCTAGTACACAACACATGAATCCATTTCATATTTCACTCTTCAGGCACTTTTATAATCTTGTTCCGATGGAAATAGGAAACAAGTATCTAACAATAAATGCCACTGTAATACTGTAAACACCAGATCAAGTAACAATATCATTGCACCTCTTTGTGTTCATGTACTTAATTTAAGTTAATGCACAAGAAATATCAAGAAACAGGTGTTGGCTAACAGAAAAATACTTACATCATCTTAAAATCTAAATGGTTCAATAGGAGTCTTACTGCCATCAATGAAACTCACTTTAAATTATTTTTTCAACAACAGTGGACAGTCGAGATTTCAGAAGACAACGAAACAGTTACTGCATGATAAGAGAAATCCTTAGATTATAGTTTACTAGCTAGGTCTGCTTCGTGCAAATGACTTCATTGAAAAAACATTTAATCCAAAGAGATGTTCCACTGTTAATCTGAAAATTGATATTTCTGAAATCTCCCATTTCTTTACTTTACTGAATTGAACATATTTTGACAAGATGTCTTCCTTTTTGGGGAGGATTACATAGTGGAAAAGATGCAGTGAAGGATTTGGTGCCTTAAAATCATCACTGCTCAGCACAGTTTTCACAGAAGAATATAAATATCTCTGAATTAGGTTTGTCTTCTCTCCAATATGTGTGTCTTAAATCGATCTCTACTCCTTAAGAATGTGTTTCACAAAAAACAATCATACTGCACACTGCAAAGCCTTCTTTACGAAAATCTGGGAATTAGGGTCACTATTACTTATTCTACTGTATATAACAAATAACAATGCAAATTACAAGAATAAAATAAGATGAATCACATGAAAAGAATAAAACAGTATTAGCTCCTAGTTGTAACATGAAACATGTTTACCACAGATAATTACCTCAGTTCATAATGAGATCAGTTCTCTTTATACATTCTGAAATGAAAACCTAAGACTTTTTTCATATGGTTATTTCTCTGAGAAAATAAAATTATCTATTGAAAAAGGTAAGTTTTACCGAGACACTACCCATGGGCTTTAATATGGCTCTCTCACATAGTCTGCTTTCAAGTTACTGATAACACAGCTGTTCAAAAACATTTCCTTCCTCAGAGCTAGAGTACTGCAAATCTGTGTGCATCTAAAGAGGTTTCTTCAAATAAAGTCCCAATATTTCTGATTCGAGAGGGTAAGATTAAAAAATTGGTCATGGAGAATACTTAGAATGAAAATCCTATTTCTGCAGGAAAAGAGGGTAAAATTTGGTTAGATAACGTTTTACTTAAAAACTTGCTTTAGTATAGAAATACACTGGAAAATGTTGCCTTCGATCATCGGTTAAAATGCAGGCGAATGGCGAAAACAGATGAAAATTTCAGATTCATCTGTCTACACTAAAAGCACTATGTCATAGTAAATAAAAGAAAGATATGGAATATGAAAGTATTGCCCTTGAGTGTTTACCTTTCATCAGACAGCATCTTCTCTTCATTGTGATAGAAAAGTGAGACTAGAGGGACACTGAGCTCCCATTTCTCAAATATTTGTTTATGCTAAAACAGTACGAATAAATAAATTGGTATCATTACAAAACAAAATGTCTCCCTTTGCACTTTAATGTTTTAAATAACTGGATGGTTTAAATGGTCTAATTTTATTCAACACTGATTTTGCTCATTTTTAATGACAGAATGAATAAACACTTCACACATTTAAACAGCTTAACGGATATTGTACACTACACAAATCAATCTTTAAATGGGAATATTGAAAGGTAGGCTATATGGAATCTCTTAACTGAGGTGATGTAATACTAGTTTCCAAAAACTGTGTGTAGCAAACGTGTTCACATTTGATTAACAAGATACTGTTTTTAGATAATGGTAGTATAATATATATATATATCCCAACTCAGTACTGTCGCTCTCGTATGCTTTTTTTCTGTCTAAAAAAGCATGTTTTTTTTCTTTATGCTTATTTATAATGGCGGAATGCCATTCCGAGAAAAATAAAAAAAAACATATCAGAATTGTTGATAAATGGGATTGTTTTGATTAAATTTAAATACATGATTTTCTTTGAAATCTTTTACATTTTATAATAATTTCATTGCATATATCTTAAATGTAGAAGGAGTGCCCTCCCTTTCAAAATTAATCAATTAATACTGGAATAAGTTTAACAAGTCCTCAGCTCTAAAATCCATACCATCATTCTGCTTGATACCGCCACGCTGCCAGCTACAAAATTATCCCAGACACTGCCATCAAATTACATTGTGTGCCCGCACATTCACACATGTATTTTTAGCAGTAGTCTGAGCTGTCACAACATATCAACTCAGATTAAGCACGCTTTCCAAAGAGGTAGGGCACGCAAAAACTATCGGGCACACACAGTACCTTCTACACACAGACTCTAGTTCATCCATCAGCTCCTACCTCCGATTCTTTCCTCTGGTTCTTGAATAGTTCTCTCACTTTCGGAAGGGGCTTCTGTTTGCCGCTGTTATTATTAGATCCCTCCATTTCGGCACCCTGCATCTGTCCCTGGCCCCTCTCTGTCCTCACAGCTGCTCACCTACTGCCTCCAGTTACTCGAATCTGTCACATTGGAGCTGGCTGGGGGATTCCGAGTTCAGGAAATCCGTCCCCCCTGGGCTGATTGGTCGGGCTGTCCCACTGTGGGCAGTGGCTTACGGCAGATGGGGCTGGAAGTGGTCGGCCGGCCTGTCAGCGATAAAATACAAGGTGAGGGAGCTGCGTTTGCTTGGAGGGCGGCTATGGGATTCCTCAGCACGCATACCTCGGACAGGCAGCAGTTGTGAGTTGGGATGGATGTCAGTCACAATCTGCACGGTGAAGTGAGAGAACTTGAGCGGCGTTGTGTCAAAATGGTATATTTGCATGGAAGACGAAATATTTTAATTACAAATAGGAAGACCTCATTCGACAGTCCATTACTACACATTTTAAGATGTCTTCAGCACTATAAGCTCTTAGGCAGTTTGATACAAGACCTTTTAAAGACGTGAAGTTTCATTTTCCTAAGCAGGGCTAAGTGTCAAATCCGACCAACGTAAACTGTCCAAGAAGCGAAGTACGTAAACTGTCCGAAGTTGCTGCCTTTTGCGCTTTAAACGAGACACGAAGTCGCCTGTGGAGAACACAAAATGCAATTTATTGAGGTACAGACACGTATTTTCAGTAAATTTGATTCCGATAGTGAAAAGGCTAAATCTACGGAAGCATGGCTATGATAATATGTACAGTATTTCAGTGCATATTAAAAAGTACTTTCTGTACTTCAGTGGAAAAAAAATTGGTCTCCTATCAATAAGATAAGAAACTTGTTTTTTCATGACTTGCGTGAGATTTCTGTCATCTTTCATTACGCACGTCTATGAGTTAGGTCTTAACTGATCACCCGATCATAAAAACAAGGACCAAAAACATACAAGGTCACTGGAACTGTTACACTGCTGTTGTTATAAAGGTTTGTTCCAATACAACCTGATTATAGATTATATGGATAATTGAGTTTACTGATATCCCACAGAAATCTAAATATGCATATCCAATAATTATGACAATGAGACACTTAGAGATTAGAGAAGCGTGAGGGAAAACTAATGCTAATCCTGTATCCACTTCACACAATTTCATGTAAGTGGGTTTAAATATTTTGATTAACCTTACTTGTTCTAATGCTGTATCACTGGTGTTCTAACTATGTCTATAATGGCATTGATAATTACAAAGAGCCGATATGCATAACTGTAGCATTCAAGTACACTTCTTGCAGAGATAGATAATGAGCATGGTCCTCTCTTGTTTATTGATGTACATCAGCAGAGCTCCATTAGCACTCATGCTAATGTTCTTAAACCTATATAGAGCACTGGATTAAATCCCACTGTGTCAACAGGATTTTAGTGCTGATCTTACCAGTCAGTTTCTGATGGTCTCCCTTGATTCTGATTGCCTTTTTGTGCTGCAGCTACACAGTAGTCCCTCAGGGATTTGAAGTTACTCTCACTTTGTCTGCACTATTAATGCCAGATCTGTTTTTTATGTTATTGATTTTCAGTACCTTTGTTGCATATTGGCCTACAGTAGGCACTGTAAGAAAACAGTTTCTCACAGCTTTTGGTTTTCTTCATCTAGTTGTTTTGTGATTCTCTGCCCCATTATTGTATATGGTTTGTGCAAACTCTTTTAACGTAAAAGTATATGACATGTTCCTCTCTATAGTCTTATAGGAGTGGAATACTAAGAAACTCCCAGTCAAACAGAAAATTCAGTTGAATGCTGACATAACCAGTGGATAAAGAGTCCCCCTACATCCTCTCTATTTGAACGTGTCTATAATTGCTTCTGTATTTACCAGACTAGGTTCAATTATGATCACTTACCTGTACTGTATATGCATAATAATAATAGTACAATGCTCTGTGAGATATCCTTAGATTGTCACAAAAAAAAAACATTTTGTTCTTTTAATGTGAAAACTGACAGGATGAATTGACAGGTAAGGTGCTCTTTTCAATATATAAACACACTTAGAAAGGTTCCAAACAAAATAAGGGCATTTAACCTGTCTTGTTCATTTGGTTGCAAGTATTTCATTGATTCACAGAATTAAACACACATACGAGCCTTTCAATGATCAAAACATTCCCATTGAGTTTTTGTGTAGAATCTCACCTCAATCTGTTAAATCAGTCTTTAAGAAGTGGAAGGTGCCTGAACCCTGCCTAGGTCACAACACAAGATCAAACTCCAAAATGGCTCTCCAGACTGAACGGCTGGACAAAGAGGAAACTTTCTAGGATCACCACATTGAGGCCAAAAGCAACTTCAAAAGAGCTACAGAGTTCAGTGGCTGAGATGGGAGAAAATATCCATGGGTCTACAATATTCAAGTCACTCCACAAAGGGGTGTGTAACTAAACAAATCCCACATGGATTTTGCAACAAAGCACCTCAGTGACATTGCAAACATGTGGGAAAAGGTTGCATTTCATAACAAAATTGGAATATTCTGATCTAAATGTAAAGCATTATTTCTGGTGCAAACTCAGCACAGTGCATCACTCAGGCAACACCACCCCTGTTATCAAGCATTATGTTATAACAGTAGTTCTCATCAGGAAGGATGGGGAACCTTGTCAAGTCTGAATGAACATAGATATGTCATGCCCACGCCCGGGTAAGTGCTGTTTCTAGCTCCCATAACTCCAAACTGGTAGTCAATCGCTGAATCAATCTTCCAATCAACCCGTTCCTATGGCAACATGGTTGGGAAGGTTGACCATACCACTGGTACATAATTAACAGCACTTTCCTTGTTTCCAGCTGGGCATTTATTCCTGCTTCAGTGGCAGTGCAGTGTTCAGTCTTTGCATTAGCTCCGTGACCCGGTGCTTGTGTCTCCTGTGCTTGCATTATTTTCATGTGTTTGAAATTTTCCCCTGAATTTAGTTTTTACTGATGTTTACTGTAACCTATTTTAACCCTTAGAAGTATTCAGTTTGAGCATGCAGGTTTTGAATGAATTAAGTTTAAAATACTTTTATGCAGAATTTTGTAATTTCACAAAATGGGACACCGTAGGAAGTTATTTGAATAACTTGCCAGGGACTGTATATCCCTATATACTTCTATCTATTTCCTCTCCTGCCAGTCAATTGGTATATTTTGGAATCTTTTGGATTAGATTCCTCAGATATAAAGCACCATTACATGTTTGTGTTTTGAAAGTGATTAAGAGTTGCCACAGGTCTTGCTGAATATTAGATTTTTCGGAGGAAGAAATTAAATAATTAAAACGTTGTGAATTCCTCTGTGTACATTAAATTGGAACAAAAGCCATGTCCTGTCAAACACATGCTGTGGGACTCGGTGAAAATCCATTCTGCAGTGACAAGTGAAAGGTACTCCTCTGCCATATTCATTTAGGATTATCCTCTGAATGAATTATTGATTAGTATGGCTAGGGGTAGTTAAAGTAGATTGCTTCACGCATCCCATATTTTTAAAAGCACTTCAAATGATAACACGATTAAAGCCTGTATTTCACAAGGAGTCTGAAAGTTAAGAAGGTTGCTTCATTCTAATATGAACCTGTGGCCCCATAATTTTAAGAAAACAAAGGAAAAAGAAAATTAAAATGAAAAATATCCTGGTTTTTGCCTTTTTATTGAGAAAAATGTCTGTTCATTATCTTCACACTCCATTTAAACCCTCGTGTAAGAAACCACTCATTCCCAAACACCAGCAGACTCTTTCCCTCCAAGACAATGGTAACATAACACAGACTTTTTTTTAAACAAAATTGATTTGCTTTAAAACATATTTCACCAGAAGGGAGGGTTGGTTTTGTAAAGACAGCAGCACTGAGAAGACCATGACTATTAAGAGGAAACTAAGAGGAAAATGTTAATATTAAAGAACCTTTTTTTTCAATCTGATAGACACATCTGGTTCAATGCATTTACATATTCTCATTGCTGTACTGGATTGTCACGGCAAGGATGAAGTGGAAAAGCCAGGATTTAAGACAGTTTCTTATTAAAAACTAAACCTGAAAGTGAATAAAATGAGAGGGTCAAAATTCCATTGTTGCGAGAAGACTAGTTAACCTTCAGATTATTTTTTGCTTTTGAAAAACTAAGCTGTCATTCAAGCATACCGAGTGTCTCATTAGGATGGTTTAACTGCATTGCATTAGCAGACTGGACATAAACTCCTGGCTGGATCAAGAGAGTCACAGAAAAACAAGTCTGCTTGGGTTATAGGAAGACAAAGACTCCGAAACAAGCTAATATAAAACAGCATGCAATATTTCAATGGCATTTGTGCAGCGCTAAAAAAAACTGTCACTCACCTTTAAGCAGATAACCATGAATGGAAACAGAGAAACACCAGGCAAATACTTACAATAAAATGGAATTGTTATACCCATTGTTGTGAGAGAGAGGAGGGTTTGTGACAGTAATGAATGCTCCTATAAAAGAAATATAGTCCTGTGGGATGCAAACGAGTTGTTAGGGTTACTTAAGGTACAGCAAATAAACAGATAAAAAAGAAAGATGTTTCTAACATCTGGAGGTTCAGGATAAAAAGCAGACAGCAACAGGACTTGCTTATTGACCAATATTGGAACTCCTGTGTTTTCAACATGGAGCATAGATCATGTTAATATAAACGAGATACAGTAGTACCAGCAAAGCTTCATATTAGTTTTTAACATATTACCACATAAAATAACTGAGAATGAATCCGAGAAGTGAAATATTCACCTTGCCTTCCTGTTTCCTGCAGAGAAGATCACTTATAGTAACATCGTCGTCCACTTACTGTATTTATAGGTTTCAGAGCATACAATAGGCTGCAAATGAGACTGTAAGGAGACTGCTTGGCCCACCTCACACAATAGGTTGCTGAGAGCAAATTGATTTGTATTGAATTAGAGAAGCCAAGGCATCAACGTCAACAACATAGATGGTTGCCATATTCCATGCTCCCACAACTCTCCTGTTTCATTTTAAATGTCCCTTCTCCCTAGTTACCATTAGGGTTCTTCGGTTTGTTTTTCATTGTTGTTTCTGACAAAGTATTTGAGAATGCTTAATATTTCAATCAGGTCCATTCATGGTTTTCTCTGTTCAAGACTAAAAAGA